CACACACACACACACACACACACACACACACACACTCACACCAACTAACTGCGGTTTGGGGTTTAGGGTTTAGGGTTTAGGGTTTAGGTTTAAGGTTTAGGGTTTAGGGTTTAGGGTTTAGGGTTTAGGGTTTAGGGTTTAGGGTTTAGGGTTTAGGGTTTAGGGTTTAGGGTTTAGGGTTTAGGGTTTAGGGTTTAGGGTTTAGGGTTTAGGGTTTAGGGTTTAGGGTCTCAGCTGTCCACTGCAGATTCCAGAGAAGGCACAGCTAACATGACTCCTGCGTGTTTGTGGTTGTGGGGTACCCTAACCGTAAACCCAAAAACCTCAACCCTAAAACAACCCAAAAAGCCGTCTAAAGCAAATCCTGAAGCCCTGAAACACCCAATATAAACCCTAAACCCTGAAACCCTCGAACCCTGGAACCCTGAACCTTAAACCCTGAAACCCTGAAGCTCTGAAAAACCCAATATAAACCCTAAACAGTAAACCCTAAACCCTAAACCCTAAACCCCTAAACCCGAACGGTGCGACTGACTGCCAACCAGCGGCTGGTGCTTTGTCGTCAGCAGCAGGCACTCATGGTTCTGCCCTAAGTACCTTCAGAGCACTGGCACACTACTGGCGCGCAAGGAGGCTAGGGGGTTTAGGGTTTAGGGTTTAGGGTTTAGGGCTTAGGGTTTAGGGTTTAGGGTTTAGGGTTTAGGGTTCGATTAGGGTTTAGGGTTTAGGGTTTAGGGTTTAGGGTCTAGGGTTTAGGGTTTAGGGTTTAGGGTTTAGGGTTTAGGGTTTAGGGTTTAGGGTTTAGGGTTTAGGGTTTAGGGTTTAGGGTTTAGGGTTTAGGGTTTAGGGTTTAGGGTTTAGGGTTTAGGGTTTAGGGTTTAGGGTTTAGGGTTTAGGGTTTAGGGTTTAGGGTTTAGGGTTTAGGGCTGGTACCGGTGCCCAAGGAGGTTAGGGTTTAGGGGATTTAGGGAGTTGTGGGTTTAGGGGGGCGTAAGGACATTAAGGCTTTAAATCGTAGAAGGGGGAACATCCCAAGTTCATGGGCTTAGGGCTTAGGGCTTAGGGCTTGGGGCTTAGGGTTTAGGGTTTAGGGTTTAGGGTTTAGGGTTTAGGGTTTAAGGTTTAGGGTTTAGAAAAAAAAGGATCGCTCTGGGCGCCCCAGCACGATGTCAACAATCGCACTGTCCAGCACGGCCTCCTTCACCAGAACCTAGACGGATTGAGGATTCGGGTTTAGGGTTGAGGGTTGAGGGTTGAGGGTTGAGGGTTTAGGGTTTAGGGTTTAGGGTTTAGCGTTTAGGTTTTTTTTTTTTGGGGGGGGGGGGGGGGACGCTGAACCCTAAATCTAAGTGGTTGAAGGCTTCCGGGGGTCTTCCTTGCATTTGACCTTTTGCGAGGCCGACATGGTAACTTATCAAAATTATGCTCCTCCTAATCTCCAGAAAGGGACCGAAAAGTTGAGAGCTGACCACATGGCAGCAGTAGCCTGCGAGTTTAGGGTCAGAGCAGACCAGTCAGAAATAGCCACTCCACATTCAGCTGTCAACCTCAGTACAGGTTACTCGCGGTGTTATCTTAAGCCCCCCTTTTTCGGAATTCTTTGAAGGCCGCAGGTGATACATTAAGATTCCGAGTGCGATGAAGAAAACATGTTGTTTTTGTTTTCAGTATGAAGCGGACATGTTGAAACAGATGGGCGTGTTTTTATTGCTTGGTAGCCCAGTAACCCTGCCACAACAAGGGCACCCTTTTTTGGGTTGGTTACTTTACACGGGAGCCTTGAGCCAAAACAGGGCAAAGGATACCACTGGGCTACCAAGATTGTGAAGCAGAAGCAGACGGCTTTGTCGCATCACCAAAAACACCCCCCAGATCTGAAACGGCATCCCCCAACGGCCCGCCTCAAAGCAAGGCAACCTGAAATACCCAGATGTGCACCCAGAAAAACCTTACACCTCAAGCCCTGACACCCTGAGACCCCTAACTTCAACCCTAGCGCTGAGCTCCTAAAACCCGGCTGAGTCTGTCACGCTTCGGGTTTGGGGAGGCTAGAGGGTTCTGGGTAAAGGGACTAGGCTTTGGGGTAAAGGGGTAAGGGTAACCAGGAAACCCTCAACCATAAACCCTAAACCCTAACCTAAACCCTAAACCCTAAACCCCCCCCCCATCCCCTCGTCCAAAAAAACACAAACCCTAAACCCTAAACCCTAAACCCTAAACCCTAAACCCTAAACCCTAAACCCTAAACCCTAACCCTAAACCCCAAACCCCGCCTCTTTCTTCAGCGGCCCATTTGGCTGCGCGGGAGCAGAGAAAGGCCTGGGCTGCTCGGGGCTGCTCGGAGCTTAAGGTTCAAGCAAGGTCGGTCCAGGGCTTCAGGGGCCGAAACCACAAACCCTAAAGCCCCTAACCCTAAACCCTAAACCCTAAACCCTAAACCCTAAACCCTAAACCCTAAACCCTAAACTCTAAGATAGCAATGGTGGAAATAGTAGTAATCAAAAATAGGAGCAGTAGAAACAATAGCAATAGTAGTAGAGATAGTCATAATCGTAAGATAGAATAACAATCGAAATAACGGAACAACAGCAATAGTACTAAGAGTAAGAATGCAAGCAATCGAATAGTAGTAAGAAGGGTAAGAATAATAAGAATAATAAGAATAGTAAGAATAGAAGTGCATAATAGTAAAGTGGCAATAGTAGTGTGCGCGACAGGCAAGAATGCAGAGGATGGCAACACAAACTGTACAAAGGATAGGTATATTCATGATGATTCGCATGGAGCTGACTTAAACTACATCCATGAAGTTAAGAACGTCGCACAAACTCCGCGTTTATCGGGAATCTACGGATTACTTGAAAACGATTGGAGGGGAATCGGTTGGGTGCAAACATTGAGAAATGAATCACAACAACAGCATGTGGGTTTAGGGTTTAGGGTTTAGGATTTAGGGTTTAGGGTTTAGGGTTTAGGTTTTAGGGTTTAGGGTTTGGGGTTTAGGGTTCAGGGTTTAGGGTTGCCAAGCCCCACACCCAAACAGAAGCAGCCATAGAAGCAGCCGGCTTCCGTAGCCCATGGTTTAAGGAGAGCTTCAGGAGGGGGAGTGCCTTTACAGACGGCTTGTTAAGGGGTTGCATGGGGGCAAAAAGGAGAAGGCTTGTAGACTTCCGTTCTTTGAAAAATGAAAGGTTGAGAGTCCTGGTTTTTAGGCCCTGCGGTTTGGGGAGGGGGGGGCTTCAGGTGATCCTATGAACCTTCCACCTTAAACCTGAACAACCATTCTGGGGTTTAAGTTTAGGGTTTAGGGTGTAGGGTTTGGGGTTTGGGGCAGAGTCTCATCCCCCCCTTCTCTCAAGGGTATGTGGGTTGAAAGATTCTTGGTAGCGCCCAGGCCTCTCGAAATGAGCTGAAGCCAGACATCAGCAGCAGACTTCGGGCGATGAAGCCCAAAAAAGGAAAACATCCAAAGAAGCCCAAGAAAAAGCCCAGACTGCCGGAAACCCGACTGAAACCCTAAAGCCGACTTAAAAACCTTCAACAATCCGCCTTAACCCCTAAACCCTAAGCCCTTCCAGAAAGGAGCGCCCAAAAAGGGACTCCAACTCAAATCGACCCCCACGTGAAGTCTGGGGCTTACATGCTTTGAGGAGTCAGATTCGCGGCCGAGCCCTCTAAGAACTTGACCCTAAACGCCTCAACCCTTGAACACCCTTTGAACCTCAAAGCCTAAATCCTAAACCCTAAACTCTAAACCCTAGACCCTAAGCCCTAAACCCTAAACCCTCAACCCTAAACCCTCAACTCTAAACCCTAGACCCAGTTCCTGTTTTGTGCCTTACGGCCGCGTGCACGGTGCAGCCGGCTCAACCATGAGCTGCCAGTGGTTAGGGATTAGGGCTTCGGCATTCAGGGTGTCGGGTTTAGGGTTTAAGGTTTCGCGTCGTTTGAAACCCTGTGGCTGAAGGTAAGCCCTAAGAACTAAGCCCGAAAACCCGAAACCCTAAACCCTAAGCCCTAAAGCCCTAGACCCTCAACTAACCCTAAACCCCGAACCCTGAAGGGCCCAGCCCTAACAGCAACAAGAAACACGCAGCAACCGTAAGCCTTAAATCCTGGATGGCTGATACCCCAGGAATACGGCTCAGGCTTAGGGTGTAGAGGTTAGCGGTTTAGGGTTTAGGGTTTAGGGTTTAGGGTTTAGGGTTTAGGGTTTAGGGTTTAGGGTTCGGGGTTTAGGGTTTAGGGTTTAGGGTTTAGGGTTTGCTGAAATATGTTGCAGAAGCTGTGAAGGTTGGGATGCAGACCAGGCTGGAAAGCTTCCTGGGATGCAACGAGCAGCCATGGCCCGACTGTGGAGGGCCAGCCAATGGTTTTCATCCCACCCCACGCCGTCTCAGGTGGCAAAACCACCCTAACCTAGTCCTTTGAGGGTTTGGGCTTAAACCCTGAACCCTAAACCCTAAACCCTAAACAATCAAATTCAATTCAACTGCCTGCTCAGAAATGTAGGGGGCGGGGGGGTCAGAGGGGGGGGGGCAACTCCAGGCTGAGCTGGCTTGGGCTTTAAGGCTTCGGGTTTAGGGTTTAGGGTTTAGGGTTTAGGGTTTAGGGTTTAGGGTTTAGGGTTTAGGGTTTAGGGCTTAGGGTTTAGGGTTTAGGGTTTAGGGTTTAGGGTTTAGGGTTTAGGGCTTGCAGGTCGCTCCGGCGCACTCGGTAAGACAGGGGGTCCACGATTCATGGACACGTGCATGGGTGAGACGGTTCAGGAGATCAGGGCTTAAGGAGATCAGGGATCAGGGAGATCAGGGCTTCAGGGTTTAGGGTTTAGGGTTTAGGGTTTAGGGTTTCGGGTTTGGGGTTTAGGGTTTAGGGCTTAGGGTTTAGGGTTTAGCGTTTAGGGTTTGGGGGGCTTCAGAGTGCAGGGTCTCGGGTTTGCATCCCGAAGACCAAAGCACACTCCCCCTTTGAAAACGGCCGGCCAGGCTCCTGGAGCTCAGTCAGAGGTCCCTGGAGCTGCCAAGCAGGGCCTGGGTGCACGATCACACTCCACTCTAGGGTTTAGGGTTTAGGGTTTAGGGTTTAGGGTTTAGGGTTTAGGGTTTAGGGTTTAGGGTTTAGGGTTTAGGGTTTAGGGTTTAGGGTTTAGGTTAGGGTTTAGGGTTTAGGGTTTAGGGTTTAGGGTTTAGGGTTTAGGGTTTAGGGTTTAGGGTTTAGGGTTTAGGGTTTAGGGTTTAGGGTTTAGGGTTTAGGGTTTAGGGTTTAGGGTTTAGGGCTTAAGGTAAAAGGGTGCCCAGAAGAAAAGAGCAGGAAGGAAACCCTACACCCCTGAACCCTTAAAACCCTTAAACGATCCCCCTGAGCCCCCCCCAAAACCCTTAAAACATCCTAATCTTGGGACGTTCCCCCTCATACCAACAGTCCTTACAAGGGAATATAGTCGCCCCCCCCCCCCCCCATTATGTTAGTAGAAGGGGGAACATCCCAACCCTAAACTGTAAAATTGCTGAGCCTCTAAACCCTAAAACCTGAACCCTAAACCCTAAACCCTACTCCCTACTTAACCCTAAACCCGAAACCGTCTTCAGACTTCAAGTTACGGGGGGGCTAGCACAGGGCGATCTGTCACAGGATGCGAAACCCTGAAGCGTAGTTAAGCCCAAAAAAACATTCACCATCAAACCCTAAGCCGGAAAAAACCATAGATTCCTAAACCCTTCAAACTATACAACCCTAAACCCTAAACCCTAAACCGTAAACCCTAAACCCTAATCCCTAAACCGTGGCCAAAACCCCCTAAACCAAACCACCCCGAAATCCAAACCCTTAAACCAAAAAACCCTCAACTAGAGCGTTCAAAACTTTGATGTTGGGATGTTCCTTACAGTCCTTAATGGGGATTTTTCTACCCCCTATGATAATCCCTATAAGGACTGTTAGTGGGGAATGTCCCAAAATAAAACCCTCACCTAGAGCGTTCAGAACTTTGATGCAAGCCTCAGCCTTAAAACCAGAAGAGCCCTCAGCTAAGGCGGTTTAGGGTTTAGGGTGTTAGGGTTTAGGGTTTAGGGCTCAGGGTTTAGGGTTTAGGGGTTGTCCGTAGTTTAGAATACGGGCCCAGCCAGATTCCCTGAAACCTGAAGTAAACCCCAAAAACCCTAAGCAACCCTAAACCCCAAGAACCCTAAACAACCATAAACCCCAAATTCCCTAAACAACCCTAAACCCTAAAGCCTAAACCCTAAACCCTGCCCTAAACCCTCAAAAACCCTAAGCCCTAAACCCTGTCCCCTAAAAAACCCTAAGCCGCTTAAGCCCTGAACCCTCGACCCCCACTTGGGCACGCCGAGCCAGGAACCCCAGCTAGCGGCGCTGCCATGCCCGCCGCCTGAACAAGCCCCAGGCCGGCTGGCCTGGCTGATTTATGAGTTTAGGGTCTAGGGTTTGGGGTTTAGGGCTTAGGGTTTCGGGTTTAGGATTTTAGGGTTTTAGGGTTTAGGGTTTAGGGTTGAGGGTTTAGGGTTTAGGGTTTAGGGTTTCGGATTTTAGGGTGTTTAGGGTTTGCTATAATATGGCGCCTCTACGGCGCCTCAAAAGACAAGATGACAGGCCCCTTCCGCAATGTGTGTATTACACCAGAAAAACGAGAACTTTCCTTGGCTGTGGGAGGCGCATCTAAGTGACACCCCTAAACCCTAACCCTAAACCCTAAACCCTAAACCCCTAAACCCTAAACCCTAAGAGTGACACTGACAGTGCGCGAAGCCGTCATTCCAGCCTCCATGCCTCCGAAATGGTGGTGCTGTCGTATCTCTCGACCTGCGCACCAGGATGAGAATCCGCTCCCTAACAGCCCTAGACAAGTGGAAAGCCTTGTTAACTTTAACTTGTTGACCTCTAATCAAAACCACAGACCCCCAAAACCCAAACTCCCCAAATCTTGAACCCTACGTCCTGAACCCTAAACCCTAAACCCCCTAAACTCCCTAAACCCCACAAAAACCAACCAAAGCCTCAACCCTGGGTCCCACCTCCCACTTGAAACTCCGCGGAGCTCTGTCTGGATAGAGCTCGTAGCAGTAGCCCACGCTCATGACGTACTCCCTTGGGACGTGCAAGGTCCCTAACCCTAAACCCCAAACCCTAAACCCTCTTGTAGGAGTTTAGGGTGCAGGCTTTAGGGTGGAGAGTCCAGGATTCAAAGGTACAGGTCCCAGGGTTTAGGATTTGAGGGTTTAGGGCAGAGTATTTCGGATTTCGTGAGTAGAGGGGTCTATTTAGGGTACCCTAAACCCTAAACCCTAAACCCTAAACCCTAAACCCTAAACCCTAAACCCTAAACCCTAAACCCTAAACCCTAAACCCCCTGAAGCTGCCAAAACCCCTAAAACCCCTAAACTCTAAAGCTCCAGACCCTCAAAGCAGAGCTTGGGGGCGCAGGGCAACCGGCAGGACCATTGCGCAGAGGCGCCTTTTAGGGTTTAGGGTTTAGGGTTTAGTGTTTGGGGTTTAGGGTTTAGGGTTTAGGGTTTGGGGTTTGGGGTTTAGGGTTTAGGGTTTAGGGTTTGGGGTTTGGGGTTTGGGGTTTAGGGTTTAGGGTTTAGGGTTTTGGGTGGAGTCAAACCTGATGGCGCCGTACAGGCTGCTGACGTTGCGCGCAAGTGTATCTTCCACTCGGCGCGGTTCTTGACGTATGGCACCAAGCCATGCCTGCCCAACACCATGTTGCGAAAGCTTGCAATCTTTGGTTATCCTTGGTATGGCTTGTGCAGCGCCATCCTGATGGCGTGGGCCCTGTCCCGCCACCGGATGACCCGTGCGGGCCATCGGTCCTGCAGAATTGCGGTGGCCTTGAACATCGTGCTGGCTGCGTCCATTGCAATGCTCCGGATCTTTCTCACGGACCGTTCGAAAGCGGGCCTCATCGGCCCTGCCTCGAGGACCTCAAAACCCTAAACCCTAAACCCTAAACCCTGAACCCTAAACCCTAAACCCTAAACCCTAGACCCTGTTCCAGCTCAAGATTTAGGGGTTCAGGGCTTCGGTCCCCCCCCCCTCCTAGATCCTGGGTTTAGGGCTTCGGGTTGTGACCTCAATAAACAGCCACAAAAACTGCCCCAAACACCTACAGAAAAACCCTACCTTCCTAATAAACCTCTCAACCATGAGCCCCAAAACCCTCTAAACCCCAAACCCTAAACCCGAAACGCCCAAAAACCCTAAACACCCAAACCCTAAACACCCAAAACCCTAAACCCCGAACCCCAAAGCCACAAACCCCAAACCCTAAACCCCAAACCCTAAATAGACCGAAAACCCCAAACGCAAAACCCCCAAAACCCTGAACCCCCAAAACCCCCGAAACCCTAAACCCCTCAAAACCCTAAGCCCTAAGCCCCAAAGCCCCCAAACCCAAGCCCCTAAGCCCCTAAACCCCTAGCCCCGAAGCCCCTATGCCCCTAAGCCCCTAAAAGCCTTTAAGCCCCTAAAAACCTTTAAGCCCGTATGCCCCTAAGCCCCTAAGCCCCTGAGCCCCTAAGCCCCTAAAAGCCTTTAAGCCCCTAAGCCCCTAAGCCCCCAAACCCCTAAGCCCCTAAGCCCCAACCCCTAAAACCCTAGACCGACCCCAAAACCCTAAATACCTCTCAAAACCCCAAACCCAAAATCCTAAAACCCTAAACCCCAAAATCCTAAAAGCCTCAAGACCCTAAGCACGTAAACTCTAAACCCTAAAACCCTAAAACCCTAAACCCCAAAACTTAATGCCTCAAACCCCTAAGCCCCGAAGTACCCACACTAAACCCGACACCCTTACAGCCCAAAACCCAAAATACCTCAAAACCCTAAGTCCAAAACCCCTAAACCCCAAAACCCCAAATACCTCAAAACCCTAAGCCGCAAACCCTAAACCCTAAACCCTGAACCCCAAACCCCAAACCCTAAACCCTAAACCCTAAAACCCTCAATACCTCAAGCCCTGGGAAGGCCGGACCCCCCTGCCGGGTTAGGTCTCCACCACACTTGTCGTTGACAAGGTAGTCCACCTCTTCAGGGGTTTAGGGTTTAGGGTTTAGGGTTTCGGACTTAGGGTTTAGGGTTTAGGGTTTAGGGTTTAGGGTTTAGGGTTTAGGGTTTAGGGTTTAGGGTTTAGGGTTTAGGGCTTCGGGTTTAGGGTTGAGGGTTCAGGGTTTAAAGTTTAGGGTTTAGGGTTTAGGGTTTGGGGGGGGGGGGGTTAGGGGTTTAAAAGGACTTTGGGGTTCAGGCTTTTAAGTCTCACCGTAGCTCTACGTCCAATGCTGAAGAGTCTTTGAACCTGAATGCCGCGAGAAGCTCTTGTGAGTTTAAGGTTTAGGGTTTAGGGTTTAGAGTTCAGGGTTTAGAGAACAACCTCTACTGCCTGAACACTACCCCGCGCGCACTCCCTACGACTTTCTCCTGAACCCCAAAAAAACTTCCCAACCTCGAAGCCCTAAACCCTAAACCCTAAACCCCCAGTGCAAAATGCAGCCTGTGTGACATTGGTCGTGGTGGGATCCACGCGGAAAGCCTGCAGCGACGTCTCTTAACTTGCGGGTTCCGGGCTTGAAGCATCTGGGTTTGGGCCTACTTAGGGTTTAGGGTTTAGGATTTAAGGTTTAGGGTTTAGGGTTTGGGGTTTAGGGTTTAGGGTTTAGGGTTTAGGGTTTAGGGTTTAGGGTTTAGGGTCCACGTAAACTTCCTACACCCTAAGCTCTAAAAGTCTAAACCTCGGGATGCTCCTCCTTATACTAACAGTCCTTAGGGGGTTTAGGGGGGATTTAGGGGGGGTTTAGGGGGGGTTTAGGGGGGTTTAGGGGGGGTTTATAGTACCCCCTTTTCCGATCCCTCTTAAGGGCTTGTAAGGGGGAGCATCCCAACCTAAACCCTGAACCCTGAACCTCTAAAGGCTGAACCCTAAACCCAAATTCAAGTCTGAAGCCCGAAATATGGACTGCTGCAGCTCAATTTGATTAACTTACCCCCGCAGATGCCCACTCGACGACTTCAGGTGTAGGGCTTAGCAGGGTTTAGGGTTTAGGGTTTAGGGTTTAGGGTTTAGGGTTTCGGGTTTAGGGTTTAGGGTTTAGGGTTTAGGGTTTAGGGTTTAGGGTTTAGGGTTTAGGGTTTAGGGTTTAGGGTTTAGGGGGCTGTGGCTCAATTGCCTTGAGTTTCAGAGGTGAAGTTGTGGTTCAAGAGCCTAGGGGCCGGGGATCCCAAACTAGAACAACCCCAGTGTTTGAGCTGAGGCGTGGGATCAGGATTACAATTCAAACTCAGGCGTGGGATCTGAACTTAGGGTTTAGGGTTTATGGTTTGGGGTTTAGGGCTGGGATGTCCCCTCTGATACGAACAGGCCTTAATTAGGATAATGATGGGGGGTGGTACTATAATCCCTATTAAGGACTGCTAGTAGAATTGGGAACCATGCCAAGGCTTAGAGTTTAGGGTCTTGGGTTCCACGGCAGCGGCCTGTGTGCCATTGCTCCAGCGCATGCACTCGTTCTGGACCGGGTAGGTGTACACCTGCTACTTAAAGGCTCAGCAGCTACAGGTTAAGGTTTTAGGGTTTAGGGTTTAGGGTTTAGGGTTTGGGGTTTAGGGTTTAGGGTTTAGGGTTTAGGGTTTAGGATATAACCAGCCAGCTTCCCTTCTTGTACTCCCAGCTACAATGACTACCCATGAAGCTTCAAGTACTGCCAAGACGCGACGGCACACTCAGACAAGGCACTGCCGATCTGGGCGCATGTCTGAAGAACTATGGCAAGCTCTTAGGCCCTTGACATCCCTAGACCCTACTTTGGAGTAGACCCTGGAAAAAATATATACTTTTTAGGTATAAGTAGCTATAATGGGAACCCAGAACCACAAGAAAAGTAGCAAAGTATAGTACTCCAAAAACTTGGGATGTTCCCCCGTATACTAACAAGTACTCCAAAACTTGCGTTGTTCCCCCGTATACTAACAGTCCTCAATAAGGATTATAGTAGGGGCCCAAAACCCTAAACCCTAAACCCTAGGGGGGGAACATGCCAGAAGCCACCTCGTAAGGCAGCCCAACGCACATGGACTCGGAGAAGAACCGCTGCTTCGTCACCTCAGGTTTGGGGTTTCGGGTTTAGGTTTAGGGTTTAGGGTTTAGGGTTTAGGGTTTAGGGTTTAGGGTTTAGGGTTTAGGGTTTAGGGTTTAGGGTTTAGGGTTTAGGGTATCGGGTTCTTTGGGGACTTCGGGAAATTTAGGGAACGTTAGAGCCTTAGGGAGTACTAGGGAACCTTGGGTGACTTCCTTAAGAACCCTGTAGTACGAGAGACAAACTGCTACAAACCCAACATGGTCCTTTAGCATGGGGCCTTAACAGGGGACCCCTTACATGCGTACCCGTATGTACCCTACAGGGCCCGTACCACATCAAGGGCCCATGCAACTACCCTTAGAAACTTTAAACCTGTAGGGTTCTTAAGGGAGGGGGGTACAACGGGGGGTAGGTACCTAGGGAACCTCAGGGAACTTTAGAGCCTGAGGGAGTATTAGCTAACCTCGGGTTACAGGACCCTATAAGACGAGAGAAAATACTGTAAAACTGCTGCAAACCCAACATCGAATGCTGCTAACTAAACTATGAACCCAAGCCACTACCACCAACCCTCACCCCCAAACCCCCACATCCCGAACCCCTAAACCCTACAAGCCCCAAACACCTAAACCCCAAGTACCCTCAAACCGAACCTGAATCCCGAAAATCTAAACCCCTCTGGGTCGAAGGCCGCTAACCTGGAACAGTCTTGGCCCTGGCCGGGAGGGGGTAGTTTGGGGGGGGGGGGGGGGGGGAAGGGCCGGCTGTTTAGGTTTAGGGGTTGCGGCTTTAGGGGCTGAGGCCTGCAAGGGAGGCAGGGGGGGGGGGGAGCGAATACGTCCTCAAGGGAATTAGGGTTTGGTGGGATTTGGGGTTGAGGTAACTAACCCAACGTTCCCTAGGCCCTAAACCCTAAACCCTAAACCCTAAACCCTAAACCCTAACCCTAAATCCTCAACCCGAAGTGTCGGTTTCACAAAGTTCTGCGGAGCATGGAGGGCAAGATATCTTCTTTTAACTCCCAAACATTGAGGCTTAGGATGGTTTAGGGGCTTAGAGTTTAGAGTTTAGGGTTTAGGGTTTAGGGCTTAGGGCTTAGGGCTTAGGGCTTAGGGTTTAAGAGTTGATTTAAAAACTCCACAACTCCAACCTCTCCTCCCCTCACCCCTGCCCCGCCCCTCCCCCAAGAAACAACAAAAAAATCTAAACCCTAAAGTCCTAACCCCAAACCATACCCCTAAAACCCCAAACCCTGAACCCTAAACCTTAAACCCCTAAAACCCCAAACCCTAAACCCTAAACCTTAGACTCCTAAACCTAGACCGAATCAGCAGGGCTGTAGGGTGATACTTTCAGGCCGTGGTCTAGATGCTGGCCTCTGTATCAAAAGGTTTCGTGCTCTATAGCCCTAAACCCTAAACCCTAAACCCTAAACTCGCAAGGGAAGGCCACGCAAGTCGAGGATCGCAACCGGTTCGTCATCTCTACGAAGTAGCCTTCCCAGAGGCCCCCAGAACTCCCCCTTGAAGCAAAGGAATACTCTTGAGGTTTAGGGTTTAGGGTTTAGGGTTTAGGGTTTAGGGTTTAGGGTCTAGGGTTCAGGGTTTCCACCCCCCAGAGGACTTCTGCTTGTGGATTTAGGGTTTAGGGTTCAGGGATTCTCCGTGGCATCCCGACATGACGGTTTAGGGTTTGGCTTTCTGGAAATTGTTCGAGAGTCCTATGTCGGGCTCAAGGACTTGGACAACAAATTGCAAAACCCACGAGGTGACACCGTGCTCCTCCCTGGTTCCTTCAGTCCGGGTCCTGTTTGGGTACCTGCTTAAGCTTTGTTTGTTGCTGGGGGGGGGTGATACCCACAAGGGTCGAGCCCCACTTCAAGGCCATTACCACTGCTTTGTGGTTTTCGGCGTGGGGACTGAGGGTCCAGGGTCTGGAGTCCAGGGTTCAATCCTTGGGCGTGTTGTAAGGGCTCGGGAACTCTTGCGAACTGGGGTTTTTGGGGCTGCGGGGCTGCACGTCGCTTATTCAAAGCTCAATTGCGTCTTCTTTCCTTGTCGTACCTTGCTTGGCTTTGAAGGTTAGGGGGATCAAGCTCCAGAATCCTGAAAGCCTCCATCAGGCTCAAGCCCATGCGCCTCCGACAAATCGCTCACACTTGCCGGCGGTCAGAGTCCTGCTGCTTTTGGACATCTACACCCGTTTAGGGGTTTAGGGTTTAGGGTTTAGGGTTTAGGTTTAGGGTTTAGGGTTTAGGGTTTAGGGTTTAGGGTTTAGGGTTTAGGGTTTAGGGTTTAGGGTTTAGGGTTTAGGGTTTAGGGTTTAGGGTTTAGGGTTTAGGGTTTAGGGTCGCATGAAGGTTTCGGGCTCCTTTTTGGACTGAACTGCGTGTGGCACGCGTCCGTGTAGTCGTAGATGTCATACCTGGCGTCATCGACCCACTCTCATACCCTTTTAAGGGATCTTATAGGGTACGTCATTCCCTCATTCCCGACACAGAACCAGCCAGTTCTTTTAGTGAAGGGTCTTCGCTTCAGGTTGCACACTTAGCCCGACCCGAAACAGAGCTTAACTTTTGCGGTGGGGATCTCGCTGAATGCCGCTGTGGAGATCCACAACACACAGCCGGGGCTCCGGGGAAATAAGAACGACCCTAAACCCTAAGCCCTAAGCCAAGATACCTTCTCCTAGGGCTAAGGGTTTAGGGTGGACAGCCATAGCTATTGGGCGATGACCAATCCCTGCTTGATATCTCGTGCAAGCTGGACTCTCTTTCCATCGACTCTTATCCTAGACTGCCCTAAACCCCAAACCCGAGAGCCCTGCGACCGGTCGGAACTTTACTGCTGCTGATCGAGAAACTTTGGAATCCAAACTTGCACTGAGAAAACAAGCCGCTATCAGAAACCATAAGCCCTATTCTTCTACCCCCAAGCACCGCCCCCTAAGCCCGAACTCCCACAAATGGCACCCCCCAGCCCCCCACCCCCTGTCAACTTGACAAACACTCAACCGCCGGGCGAAACCTGACCACTTCTGACAAAGCAAACCCCAGCCCGAAACCCTACATTCCCTGTGCAAAACCTCAGTCTAGAAACATGCAAAAACCTTGTCAAATCCTAAGCCCCCATCGCCCAAATACAAAAAGCCATCACCCCAACCCCAAACGCCCGGAATCAAAACAAATCGACGAGAATCTAGACTCGAACACCCAAAACCAAACATGAAGACAAACCAAACACCCTAAACCCTAAGCCCGAAACCCAAAACCCTAAAGTGAGAAGTGAACCCCAGAATTCTAGTACCCGAGGCCCCGGCTTGTAGGGCGCGGTGAACCCCACGATCCTCAACTTGAAGGCCTTCGTTTGGGAAGTGGGATTTCGGGTTTGGAAGGGTTGAGGGTCTTGAGTGATGTTACAATGTTGCTTCCGGTTGAAGACTTTGGGGTTTCGGAATTTTGGATGAGGGCTTCATCAGGACATGGGGGGGGGGGAATGTTAGAGAGGTCCTGCAAAGAGGTCCCTTTAAAATGGAAGAAATACTACCTTGTTGAGGTTTAAGGATTGTTTAGAATTTAGGGTTCAGGACTTAGGGCTTAGGGCTTAGGGTCGAGACATGTCCTCTGTCCAACTACCAATGTGTGAAGAAGGGGTGTTCATGACCAGGACCCCCCCCCAAAGAAATAGAAAAACCATAAATTTAAAATATAAAACACACACACACACACACACACACACACACACACACACACACACACACACACACACACACACACACACACACACACACACACACACACACACACACACACACACACACACACACACACACACACACACACACACACACACACACACACACACACACACACACACACACACACACACACACACACACACACACACACACACACACACACACACACACACACACACACACACACACACACACACACACACACACACACACACACACACACACACACACACACACACACACACACACACACACAAACACACACACACACACACACACCACACACACACACACACACACACACACACACACACACACACACACACACACACACACACACACACACACACACACACACACACACACACACACACACACACACACACACACACACACACACACACACACACACACACACACACACACACACACACACACACACACACACACACACACACACACACACACACACACACACACACACACACACACACACACACACACACACACACACACACACACACACACACACACACACACACACGCACGCACCAGAGACCCCAAGCCCGAGATCCCTAGGGAGCCACATTAGGTGGTTGTCAAAATGGATCCCTACTATAATACGGCACCTCATATTTAGGGTACCCCAAAAGGGCTTAGGGTTTAGGGTTTAGGGTTCAGGGTTCAGGGTTTAGGGCTTAGGGCTTAGGGCTTAGGGTTTAGGAGTCCTTAAACTGCGTCTTGGCTCCAGGTTCCTGCAACCCTCAGCCTTATCCTTAGTGGGTCTGTAGCCCTTGTGGACCCTAAACCCTAAACCATGAACCCTAAACCCTAAACCCTAAACCCTAAACAAGGAAGCCTTGAAGCCCCGAAGCCCTTGGGCCCTCCATCATCCCGCGGCGCCTTGGTCAAGTTTGTGTACAGGTTCGCATAGCAGCCGTCATCTAGAAGCAGTAGCTCGCTGTACCTTGCGTACAGGGTTTAGGGTTTAGGGTTTAGGGTTTAGGGTTTAGGGTTTAGGGTTTAGGGCTTAGGGTTTAGGGTTTAGGGTTTAGGGTTTAGGGTTTAGGGTTTAGGGTTACAGTCCGTTCTTCAAGTTGTGTGGTATGCAGACTATGCACTGAAAAGGGGGCCCACTGCAAGGTTCAGAGAGGTTCTGGGGTTAGGGCTTAGGGCTTACACTGTTAACGCGTGCAGAATGATTTGAATCATGGTTTTGAGTACTAGTACCCCATCAGGACGCCAGTTATATACACTCACCAATATGTGTAGGGAAGCCTGAATACACTCACCAATAGCAGCAGTAGATTGCTTCATTTAAACCCTAAACCCTAAACCCTAAACCCTAAACCCGAAACCCGAAACCCTAACCCTAAATCCTAAACCCTAAACCCTAAACCCTAAACCCTAAACCCTAAACCCTAAACCCGAACCCTGAAACCGTACGACGAGGCTCAGGCTGGGGTGACCAGAATTTGGAGGCGGGGGGACGACAACCTACAGGACCCTGGGGGGGACGTTTGGGTTTAGGGTTTAGGGTTTTAGGGTTTAGGGTTTAGGGTTTAGGGTTTAGAGGGGGGATGGTGCAAGTTGTCATTCCTAAGCCCTGCCTTGAGAGCTCAAAAACCTGCTGCATGTTGCATGAAAATCTGGAAACCTAAACCCTAAACCCCAAACCTTAAACCCCAAACCCTTAAGCAAAGCTTCGGGCTCTGAAGGCACGCCCTCAAACTCCACGTTTAGGGCTTAGGTATAGGGTTTAGGGCTTAGGGTTTTGGGCTTGGGGCTTAAGGTTTAGGGTTTAGGGTTTGGGTTTAGGGTTTCGGGTTTCGGGTTTGGGGTTTAGGGTTTTGGGTTTAGGGGTTAGGGTTTAGGGGTTAGGGTTTCGGGGTTTAGGGTTTGAGGTTTGAGGTTTGGGGTTTGGGGTTTGGGGGTTTGGGGGTTTGGGGGTTTGGGGGGTTTGGGGGTTTAGGGGTTTGGGGTTGGGGTTTGGGGTTTGGGGTTTGGGATTTGGGGGTGGCTGGCCTGTCGAAGCAGTTCGAGTCCAGGAACAGCGACGCTTCAATATCCAGCCTGGACAGGAGAAGGGGCTTAGGGTACAGCTAAGGTATAGTTAGGGTATAGTTAGGGTATATACAGTTAGGGTATAGTTAGGGCATAGTTACGGTATAGCTAGGGTATAATTCGGGTATAGTTAGGGTATAGCTAGGGTATAGTTCGGGGATAGCTAGGGTAGAGTTAGAGTATAATTAGGGTAGAGGGAGGGTAGAGTGAGGGTAGAGTTAGGCTACAGTTATCGGGTTCTTAAGGGAGGGGGGTCCAAGGGGGGGAGGGGGTATGCAACCCAAGGTTCCCTGACACTCCCTGAGGCTCCCTAAGGTTCGTTAAGGTTGCCCACCCCCCGCCCTTAAGAACCCCATAGCATAGGATGGAGGGGAGGAGATGCCCCACCCGGAAATCCTCAAATCCCTAAACCTGAAATACATCCTATTGTTAAGAGATAAAACCCCTGCAGCAAACCCCAAGCCATCAGGGCCACGACCACTTCAAGGTCACTCCGAGATGACTCCACATTAGGAGTCATAGTGTTTAGGATTTAGGGTTTAGGGTTTAGGGTTTAGGGTTTAGGGTTTAGGGTTTAGGGTTTAGGGTTTAGGGTTTAGGGTTTAGGGTTTAGGGTTTAGGGTTTAGGGTTTAGGGTTTAGGGTTTAGGGGGTTTAGGGCGATGACGCCCCACAAGAACTCCAAGGCTGCAAAAACACACTCCACTCTATCTATGGGCAGTTCTCTCAATTAGGGTTCCTTTTTTGGGGTCCTACATAGAATATAGTAAGGCACCCTTAAAAGAAGGACCCCAAACGTGACCCTAATTTAGAGAACTACCCATCTAATCCCCTCCGAAACCACTTCCAGAGCACCACTCTGAAACGAAAGTCCCCTAAATTGAGGGTTTAGCGTATAGGGTATAGGGTTTAGGGTTTAGGGTTTAGGGTTTAGGGTTTAGGGCCAACCCATCAAAGAGAGATGCAGGAAAGTGTGTCCCGCCACTTTTTTCGCAACAAAGTCTGCTTCAATGAGGGGCCCGTAAGCCACCCCCCCCCTCCCCCCCGAGCCCCGAAGAAAGGAACCCCAAACCTCCTAAGCGTTAAACCTGCCAACCCCGCAAAACCCCCAAAAAAACAAGCTAAACAACCCTGAAACCCTTAAAAACCCAAAAAAACTTTATAAAAAAATGAAACGCGAAAAACCTCCAAAACCCCGAGGAAAACTAGAAACCAAAAAAAGGAAAACCCTTAACACACCCTAACAATTCTTAACACACCCTAAAAACCCTAAAACCCCCAAAAGAACACCCCGAAAGCCTCTAAAAACCCTGAACACCCCTTAAATCCTCAACCCTAAACTGCTAAGCCCTAAACCTTAACCCTTACATCCTACACCCAAAACCCTGACTTCTAAATCCTAAACCCTAAACCCTAAAAACCCTAAACCCTAAACCCTGGAACGCATGTCAGGCCCACGTGTCGCCAGTGCTGGGCCGCAGGAGCGAAGCAACGAGCAGCCCCAAGAGGCCTGGCTAGACGGGGGCTCTTTTGGGCTCCTTGGGGTGCCTGTTTGGGGCTTTAAGGTTAGGGTTTAGGGGTTCAGGGCGTAAGGGTTTAGGGTTTAGGGTTTAGGATTTAGGGTTTAGGGTTTAGGGTTTAGGGTTTAGGGTTTAGGGTGTCTCATTGAGGGAGCGCGCTGGTGCTAAAAGCACGCAGGTGCGCGTCCTGACTCGCAGGTGCCCACCCCCGCTTGCGCTCCACCCTCGTCTTGACCTTTGCAGGTTTAGGGTTCCTTGCTCTCTCATCTTAGGGGCTGAAGACCCTAGACCAAAAAGAAGGCTAGCCTTTTGTATATTCGGGTTTGCATTCTTTGGGGGGGTTGAGGGTTTAGGCCTGAGGCGTTTCGGGGTGTGGAATTCGGAATGCTAGCTTCTTTGGAACTTCGGAGTTTGGGGTTGCCCTAAACCCTAAACCCTAAACCCTAAACCCTAAACCCCTTGGAGCGTAAAACGCCCGAAAGCATGAGACTGCTGCCCTGCGCCTCGGTGGTGCCGCATGACGCAGGAGAGCTGCGCTGCACATCCAAAGGCGAAGCGAGTTGAAGCCCTCAAACCCAAGCCCTCGGTATGTCATGTCTTTGGTGGTATAATTAACAAGTATGTATATACACATATACATATATATATATACATATATACATATATAGAGATAGATAGATAGATGCATAGAAAACCATTAGATGCGTAGCGTACACGCCCAACCGGAGGTGATGTCGGCAGACGCCGTGAGATAGGAAGGCAGCTCACCGCACTAGACAACTCTGACTTCAGAACTGGCCCCTTTTTGCTATTGGCCATCACCCCCTAAACCCTAAACCCTAAACCCTAAACATCTGCGGCTTCCTGGCTTGAAGCTAGCCGTATCTCATCCTCCTTCACTTCTGGATCCGAGACGCGCGCGGCGCGCGAGACTTCAGGAGGTCACCCGCAACTTCTTGTAGTTGCGGGGTTTGGGGGTTTAGGGGTTTAGGGGTTTAGGGGTTTGGGGGTTTAGGGGTTTAGGGGTTTAGCGGTTTAGGGTTTAGGGTTTAGCCGTTTAGGGTTTAGGCGCTTAGGGTTTAGGGTTTAGGGTTTAGGGTCTAGGGTTTAGGGTTTAGGGTTTAGGGTTTAGGGTTTAGGGTTTAGGGTCTAGGGTTTAGGGTTTAGGGTTTAGGCCCCAAAATGAAGCCAAAGAAGGGTCCCCTCATATTCCGAAACCCCCGTCCGGCCCGGGAGATGAATAGAAGGGTTTGCATTTCAGGGTCTGAGGGATTTTTTTGGGGGGGGTGCGCGTTTTGGGGGGTGTAAGGAGGGAAAAAAGGAAGTTCACCTCCGCAAACCCATCCAACACGCCGCCAGGGTCGGTGGACAAAATAAGTATTGCATGTGGTGTCATTCGGAGTTTCCCAAGTCTTTGTCTAGCTGCCAAGCCGAGGTTAAGCATCAATCCAAAGAGCCTCTGGGAGGCCAAATGCTCAATTCACTTAAAGCATTAATCCAAAAAGCCTCTGGGAGGCCAAATGCTCGATTCACTTACACCTTTGGGGGCTACCCCCCCCCCCCCCCGGCAGCCCCTCCCTCCGCACCAGAAACAGCAGCGCGTATTTGCATTTTCTGTAAGCCCACGCCCTCAAAGACAGAAAACTGTTGTTCAAAACTTTCGTCCGAAACCTTTCGTTCGAAACTTTCGTCCAAACGTTCACCCGATTTCTTTCGTTCAAAACTTTCGTCGAAAACTTTCGCCAGTACTCCCGAGATTCCGAAGTGTGAAACATGAAATCTTCACGTCCGGCCGCGTATCTTCACGTCCCGCCACGTTTCACACCCATGCCATGGGATTCAATGATTGCAAAAGATTAGAGACGTTTCGTTGAAAATGTTTCGTTGAACGCGTTGTTGGGACCCAAACCCGATAAACATTTCCATAAACCTAAATCCTAAACCCTGAACCCGAACCCTACGCCCCAAACCCATTGTAGGGTCGAGGACTTTCTGCTTTCGGGAGTGCTCAGGGTTTAGGGTTTAGAGTTTAGGGTTTAGGGTTTAGGGCACTAAGAAATTTTTGTAGTTCCCCAGCTACCGAAGAACGAAAATAGTGCCCTTGGGTGCTTGCCGGGACTTGTCAAGGAGCTCAACCCCGAAGAAACAAGGAATTCAGGTAGCAATGGGCATGCTAGAAAGTAATGTACATTGCTGTTTGCCTGGGCGCCTGTCACAAAAGCCTCCGTTCCGCACAAGTTTTGTCGCGTCCTGGGGATCATTGGCTTTGGTCGGCCGGTGCGGCTCGCATTCTGCTTCACAAGTCAGGGAAAGTGCTGACGACGCTCTCCCGCTCCAGCCGAGCAAGGAAAACACCTGGTGGCCACAGTGGGCATACAACGCACGGATTAAGCAAGCGCTCCAAGGCATGTCTCCCAAGCTGTCCATCTGCAACAGCTAGCCTGCTTTGGAGGCACGATCACACGTGTATGTATGTATGTATGTATGTATGTATGTATGTATGTATGTATGTATGCATGTATGTATGCATGTCTGCGTGTATGCATGTATGCATGTATGCATGCATGCATGTATTTATGTATGTATGTATGTATGCATGTCTGCATGTATGCATGTATGCATACATGCATGTATGCATGTATGCATGCATGTATGCATGCATGTACGTATGTATATGTGTGTGTGTATATATATATATGTACTTGTGCAGTGCATGTGTATGTATATCTCTCACAAGACATGATTTGCCCGCATACTTTCACGTGTATATCTCTACAGAGGCGCACATGCATCTCTACACAAAGAAAACAACCAGAATAGGTAGAACGCATATGCAGAACTGTGTATGTATAGATATGTACATCTGCATGTACATCTGCGCAGACAGTACTAAGTACGCATATTTAGTCGACAACGCATGTCTACCGTGGACATACTGTCCATCTAAAATTGTAAACCAGCATGTCAGCGGGGGAACTGTTGAATACAATGTCTTGGAGGGGCGGCCCCTTAACTCACAACAGAATGATTGAGGATGTGGGCTGGAATCTGCTCTCTGAAAGGACGGGCGCCAGCATGCTGTAAGCCGTGAGATTTGGAGCTCGAAGCCCAGAGAGGTAGGGTTTGGGGTTTAGGATTTAGGGTTTAGGGTTTGGGGTTTGGGATTTAGGGTTTAGGGTTTAAGGTTCAGGTTGGCCCTTCAGATTCCAGCCGCTGGTAAATCAATCGAGGCAGAAGAGTCTTTGCCCCAGCAGCATTAACGAAGTGCTGTACACGCTGCTCATAAGCTCCTGTACAACGCGCTCATCTGTACGTATGACATCAAAAGACCAAACCAGACCTCAACCCCTCCCAAACCCTTCCTTCCCTGGGCCCTAGAACATAGCAGCTACCTTGAACCGCCTCCAAGTACCAAATGCAGCTACTCGGCCTTGAAGCTCCTTGTGCCGAATCACCCAGTAGCTTTAGAACTGAAGCGAGGATACAGTAACGTGGATACATAACAACTGCCGTAAGGAACGGGGAGGTCCGGGCCTTGTCAACTACTTCTTGTCCCTGGAAACATACATATATATGTATATATGTAGACATATAGTTATGGAGAGAGTGAGAGATGTATGCGCATGCTTATTCTATGATGTATATATATATATACATATATATAGATTGTCTACATATATATATAGAGAGAGAGAGAGAGTCTTCTACACTTCTACGTACGCTTCTGGTTTGGTCACGACAAGCTGGGGGCTACTTAGAGCCCCTCCATCCTCCGCGGGGTCGCCAAAAAAAAAGGCGCCGACTGTCGGCGCCTCTTGGTGGTCCTGGAGCCGGGGTCCAGGCTTGAGGGGTTCTGGAGGTTTTGGGGGTTTTGGACGGTTTTGGGGGGTTTTGGGGGTTTAGTTTTGGGGGTCTTGGGGGTTTTGGGGCTTCAGGGTTGGGGGTTTGGGGGTTTAAGGTTTAGAGTTTCAGGGGGGTAGGGTTGTAGGGGTTCTTGGGGTTTAGCGCCAAGGTTTAGGGTTTGGGGCTTGAGGGTTTTGGGGTTCAGGGGTTTAGAGGGCTTTGGGGTACTAGCGGTTTAGAGGCTTTTGGGAGCTAGGGGTTTTAGATATGTAGGGGTTTCAGGCTTAGGATTTAGGGATTTAGGGGTTTAGGGGTTTGGGGTTTAGGGCTTTAGGGTTTAGGGCTTGGAGCCCTCAGCCCAAATACCCTGTACACCCCACGATGAAACGCCCTGACCCCCATTCGACCCCATTCCACCCTGCTGTGTTCTATTGAGCCCTGTAAAACCCTGGAAGACCGAAAAAGGAGAATCTGGTCCGGTCGCATGCCAAACCCGAAGAAATGCAACAAAGCTCTGCGGCGCGTCCGGGGTCTGATGCTTTGCCCATGCTTTGCGACTTCTGTGCAAATGCTTCGGGAACCCTTAGACCCTAAACCCTGCGGCCTAAAACCTAAAACCTAAACCCGAAAACCTAAGTCCGAAACCCTAAACCCTAAAACCCTACACCCTAAATCCTAAAACCTAAACCCGAAAACCTAAATCCGAAACCCTAAACCCTGAAACCCTACACCCTAAACCCTCAACCCTAAACCCTAAACCCTAAGTAGGCTACCAAGCTCCAAACCATCCCCGAGCCCTGAAACCCAGGATTCTAAGGTTCAGCCTTCAGGGTTCAGGGTTTAGGGTTGAGGGTTAAAGGGTTAAGGGTTGAGGGTTGAGGGTTGAGGGTTGAGGATTGAGGGTTGAGGGTTTAGGGTTTAGGGTTTAGGGTTTAGGGTTTAGGGTCTAGGGTTTAGGGTTTAGGGTTTAAGGCCTGCGCATCTAATCCGAGCTGGTCTCGGAGAGGGACGACTCGTCTTCGGACAGACCTCGCAAGGCCACAAAAACAGTCACAAGGGCGTCCTAAAACCTGAACTTTTCGTTATAGGGTTCTTAAGGGAGGGTTTAAGGTTTAGGAACTAGGGTGTAGGGCTTAGGGTTTAATTTGGGGTTAGGGTTTAGGGCTTACCCTCTGCCACCCGGTTCCGAGTTTTGGTTTAGGGTTTAGGGTTGAAGCTTCAGGGTTTGGGGTTTTGGGGAGCTTGTATACCTGTAGAGCCATGCAGCTACCGATAAATTCAAGGAGCCGTTGAGGAGTTAAGGGTCCGAGCCTTTCAGGGTTTAGGTTTAGGTATCTTAAACCCTAAACCCGAAACCCGAAACCCGAAACCCTAAACCCTAAACCCTAAACCCCGTGGGGGCTTTGGGAGAATGGGGATTCGGGATCTCGGAGCTGCTCCGTGGACAGACTCGCATCGGTCCCTTGTAGGGTTTGGGGTTTAGGGTTTAGGGTTTAGGGTTTGGGGTTTAGGGTTTAGGGTTTAGGGCTTGGGGCTTTGGGGCTTAGGGTTTCGGGTTTTGGGTTTAGGGCTTAGGGTTGTAGGGTTTAGGGCTGAGGTAAATACTTTTACAATACAAGCTACCCCCCACAAAATACCCGATAGGCCCCGGTAGCCTCTTCTAAACCCTAGACCCTAGACCCTAGACCCTAAACCCTAAACCCTAAACCCTAAACCCTAAACCCTGGGGACGGTTTGGGGCTCTTAGGGTCCGGGGCTGAGTTCCCAGGGCCTTCCTCGCTTTGCAGCTTGACCTGGCAACAGGTTCGGCTGAAGGAGAGGCTTCAGGGTTGCGGGGTTTGGGATTTGGGGTTTGGGGTTTGGGGTTTGGGGTTTAGGGTTTAGGGTTTAGGGTTTAGGGTTTCGGGCCCAGGGTTTAGGGTTCAGGGTTTCGGGTTTAAGGTTTAGGGTTTGGGGCTTAGGGTTTAGGATTTAGGGTTTAGGGTTTAGGATTTAGGGATGTTCCCCCTTATACTAACAGTCCTCAATATCGTCTGTTGCTGTAAAGGGGGAACATCCCAAGGTTAGGGGGTTTAGGGGGTTTAGGGGGTTTAGGGGTTTAGGGGTTAACGGTCTGGGAGTTTGGGAGTGTAAGGGTTTAGGGGTTTAGGAGGTTCGCACTTTAGGGGTTTAGGGGTTTAGGGGTTCCTGGGTTCAGGGGGTTTCGGGGTCTTTGGGGTTCGGGGGTTTAGGGGGTTTAGGGGTTTAAGGGTTTCGGGGTTTAGGGGTTTCGGAGTTGAGGGGTTTAGGGGTTTGGAGGATTTGGGGAGGGGACAGGGCTTGAGGCTGGAGTTTATGCTAGGGCTCATAAACTCATGTTGAGGGTTTAGGGTTTAGGGTTTAGGGTTTAGGGTTTAGGGTTTAGGGTTTAGGTTTTCGGGTTTCGGGTTTAGGGTTTAGGGTTCAGGGTTTAGGGCTTTTTGGGCTCAGGGCGCGCCTGTCTCTGGTATCGCTCCATCTGCCACTTGGTCAGAAGCTTGCTCAGCTCGCACAGCACAAGTGTGGCTGCAGGCCCTGCCCAGGCAACTCAGGGTTTAGGGTTTAGGGTTGAGGGTTTAGGGTTTAGGGTTTCGGGTTCAGGGTTTAGGGTTTAGGGTTTAGGGTTTAGGGTTTAGGGTTTAGGGTTTAGGGTTTAGGGTTTAGGGTTTAGGGTTTAGGGTTTAGGGCTTGAGGTCTGGAGGTTGGGCCTTCAGAGCTCTGGGGGACTTGCCGGGTGCTCCTAAGCCCTTGCACCCTACAACCCCAAACTGCCCTAAACCCTAAACTGCCCTTCATCCTAAAACCCTAAACTGTTAGGGTTTAGGGTTTAGGGTTTAGGGTTTAGGGTTTAGGGTTTAGGGTTTAGGGTTTAGGGTTTAGGGCTGCCCTAAAACCCCCCAACAAAGCAATAAACTCCGAAACCCTTCATGAGCTTCGGGCTTAGGGCTTTCTGGGCAACCTCCGAGCTTGGCACCACGTTCGCACAGCTTAAGCAGTTTATGGCTCAGGGGTAAGGGCTTGGGGTTTACAAGGGCTTAGGGTTGAGGGTCTAGGGCTTGCGGTTTGGGGTTTGGGGTTTAGGGCCTCTAGGGGCTTAGGAAACCCTGAGACCCTCAACCTCCAATCCTGAGAAGCCTAGGCAAGCCTACATCCCAACTGTAACAGGGCCCTGGTCAGGGTGTCAAGTCGTGGGTGAACAGACTTTGGGGTTTGGGGTTTAGCATCTAAACGTCCTAATCCCTCAACCCTAAACCCCGAACCCCAAACCCTAAACCTGAGATTCCTAAACCCTGAACCCGAAACCCTAAACCCTAAACCCCAAACCCCAAACCCCAAACCCTAAACCCTAAACCCGAAACCCTGAACCCTAAACCGATCGGCCTGAGAGGGAGAAGAGCCAGCCCCAGGCGCCGATGTTGAGGCCGTCGAGGCCAAGGATCTGGCGAGAGGGCAGGGTTTGGGGGGTTTGAGGGGTTTAGGGTTTAGGGTTTAGGGTTTGGGGTTTGGGGTTTGGGGTTTAGGGTTTGGGGTTTAGGGTTTGGGGTTTAGGGTTTAGGGTTTAGGGTTTAGGGTTTGGGGTTTGGGGTTTAGGGTTTGGAGCTTGGGGTTTAGGGTTTAGGGCTTAGGGTTTGGGGTTTAGGGTTTAGGGTTTGGGGTTTGGGGTTTGGGGGGTTTAGGGTTTGGGGGTTAGGGTTTAGGGTTCAGGGTTCAGGGTTCAGGGTTTAGGGTTTAGGGTTTAGGGTTTGGGGTTTGGGGTTTGGGGGGTTTAGGGTTTGAGGTTTGGGGTTTGGGGTTTGGGGGTTTGGGGTTTCGGGTTTGGGGTTTGGGGTTTAGGGTTTGAGGTTTGGGGTTTGGGGTTTAGGGTTTAAGGATTCTCAGGTTTGGGGTTTGGGGGTTTAGGCCTCAGGGGCTTTCGGGGTTTGTCGGGCACTTTGGACTTATGGAGTTTTCTAGGGCTTCTAGGATGTATAGGGTTTATGTAGAACTGAAAGGGCTTTGAGTCAGGGATTCCGGGATGTATAGGGTTTAGGGTTTAGGGTTTAGGGTTAGGGGTTTAGGGTTTAGGGTTTAGGGTTTCGGGTTGAGGGTTGAGGGTTTAGGGTTTAGGGCTTTCTGGGGCCCTTGGGGAGTTAGGGCTTCCGGGTGTTCTAGGGCTGAGGGCTTAGGCCTACACTCAAGGAGCCCAACTTCAACCTCGGTCTGCTAAACCCTAAACCCTAAACCCTAATCCCTAAACCCTAAACCCTTCCAGAATTCCAGAGCTGCGCGGGTTTAGGGGTGCAGGCGTTTCGGGGGTCAGGGCCCAACAAGCCCGAAAGGCGACAACAGCTCTGCACCTGCCAAGGAGCACACGCGAAACCCTGAACCCCAAACCCTAAACCGTAAACCCTAAACCCCAAATCCCAAACCCTAAACTACCCGAACCCTAAACCCCAAACCCCATACGCTAAACCCAAACCAAACCCTAAACCCTAAACCCTAAACCCTAAACCCTAAACCCTTAACCCTAAACCCTAAACCCTAAACCCTAAACCCTAAACCCTAGACCCCGAACCCTTCACCCCCCCCCCCCCCCCTCTCCTGGTCCGAGAAGAAGGGGATGAGCACGGCACAGAGCATGGCCACCTGCCAGACAAGCGTCGAGTGTTTAAATTAGGGTTTAGGGTTTAGGGTTTAGGGTTTGGGGTTTAGGGTTTAGGTTTATATAGGGGTCGGAATAGTTTTTAATGGTATTTTCCTTATGGTCCCTTCATAAATATACTCTAATACCCCCAAAACCCTATTGCAATCATTAAGGCCCCTATGTCAGAGTGTTTAGGGATTTCGAGGTTTAGGGGTTTCTTACCGGGTTTAGAGGTGAAGGGGTTCAGGGCGTTTAGGGATTTAGGGCTTCGGGTTTAGGGCTTCGGATTTAGAGTTCAGGGGGTTTAGATGTTAAGGGATCTAGAGCTTCAGGGTTTTTGAGTCCGGGAGACTGTAGGGTTTCAGGGTTCAGGGCTTTCTTGAAGACGTAAGGTTCTGGGAAGCTCTAATTTAGGGTTCAGGCTTTAGGCCTTAGGCCTTAGGGTTTAGGGTTTAGAGCACCCCGAGTGCCTGCGCAACCGCCACGGCCTTCTGCATCACCCTGTTGGTGCACAGGTCAACCCACACCTCGGCACGCTGCGGGGCCCTGATGTTAAACCGCCTGGTAGCCCAGCACACCCGAGGTTCCCTAAACCCAAACCCTAAACCCTAAACCCTAAACCTTTAAACCCTAAACCCTAAACCCTAAACCCTAAACCCTATAATAGACAGGACAGTTTCGGGTTTAAGGTTTACGGGGGCGAGGTTGTTTACTTTTATAAGGGAACCTTGAACCAAAAAGAAGTTGAAAAGGGTACCGCGGGGCTAAGGTTGTGGGGCTCCAGGGTTAGGGTTTGCGGGGTTGAGGGTTCGTGGTTTAGGGTTTAGGGTTTAGGGTTTAGGGTTTAGGGTTTAGGGTTTAGGGTTTAGGGTTTAGGGTTTAGGGTTTAGGGTTTAGGGTTTAGGGTTTAGGGTTTAGGGTTTAGGGTGGTTTAGGGTTTAGGGTGGTTTAGGGTTTAGGGTTTAGGGTTTAGGGTTTAGGGTTTAGGGTTTAAAGGTTTAGGGTTCAGGGTTCAGGGTTCAGGGTTTGGGGGTCAAGGTTGGCTTCGGGGAGATCTGCGGTGTGCTTTTCCCAATTCGGCCCGGACACAGGCTGACTGAACGACCGGCAGATGTAAGCTCGGACATTCTCCTGGCAGCGCGACCCTAAACCCTAAACCCTAAACCCTAAATCCTAAACCGCGGCATGGATCAGGCTCGGCTCTTTCTGCTTTGGCAACCATTTTGGGGCTGGAGCTAGCTAAACCCTAAACCCTAAACCCTGAACCCTAAACCCTAAAGGTGCAGGGGTGTAGTGTTCAGGGTCTGGGGCATCTCCCTAAACCCTAAACCCTAAACCCTAAACCCTAAACCCTACACCCTCGCGTATTTGCCCCTGCGGCCAGGCGTCACAAAACACCAGGGAGATGAAGGCGACGGTCCTGGCGCGCGCGAGCTGCTCATCCACCAAGTCCTGCGACTCTCCTGCCCATGGCATTAAGGGTTTAGGGTTTAGGGTTTAGGGTTTAGGGTTTAGGGTTTAGGGTTTAGGGTTTAGGGTTTAGGGTTTAGGGTTTAGGGTTCTTTAAGGCTTCCCAAGTAAGCAACACCAAAAAAAAGGGCGCTTCGGGCTTCCCAAGCCTGAATGTTTGGGTGACGTTCATGACGCCGCCCCGACCCCCCCCCCCCTCAAGAAATACTCAACCCTAAACCCTAAACCCTAAACCCCAAACCCTAAACCCTAAACCCTGAACCCAAACCCTAAACCGGAGGTTTCGGGGGCTGAGTTCGAAAGGTCGCAAGAGGGTGTTGTGGTGGAGAGGGGATTGCTGAACAGGCCTGCAACTTGCAGACATGGTGAAGGTGCTGACATGTACCAACCCTTACAAAGCGACTTGGGCTGCAAAACAGTTCGGTCCTGGCCCCGTCGTCAGAGGACCGGTTTCGTTCCGAATGTTTGGTTTAGGGTTTGAGATTTGCAGGTAGGGAACGTTGCTGGCGCTGCCAGGCAATGCGTCTATCCGGCCCCTGCTTGCTCGACAAAGTTGCGACAATTCCCAACTTCTGGCGGAAATAACAAGATACCGTCTTTTCGGTCGAGTTTGGCGCAAGTGAACCCATCGGCATCCCAATCTGCACCATGCAGCATCCACAGCATCTGCGCACTGTTTTGGGTTTGTCCTGCTTCACCTGTGAGCTAAGCTGGCACACACGCACGCACAGGCCCCGAGTTCGGAGCCCGAACTAGCCCCAAACCCCAAACCCTAAACCCTAAACCCTGATGAACCTTCTGTGTGTTGGGCCCCCCAGCTCTCCTGATTCTTCCTTGGCTTTCAGGATGTCGTCCAAGAACACGACACCCAAGTAGTGGTGCAAAGAGACAGTGTAAACTGCGATGATGACCACCGACAGCACGAAGCCGTTCAGCAAAATGCTCACCCACATCCATCCCAGCACCTCCCATCTTCAAGAAAGGTACTGGGTAGTCAAAACTGGGGGGATGTGAATAGGTTAACTCTAGGTCGAGGGGCTTTGTAATCCTGCCTAGACCTACCCATGAGCCTGCAAGTAGGGTGAGGAGAAAGAGGGAGTTTAGGGCGGAGAGAGTTCTAGGGTTTAGGGTTTAGGGTTTAGGGTTTAGGGTTTAGGGTTTAGGGTTTAGGGTTTAGGGTGACCTCGTGATGATGGTGCCAAGAAGCAATCGGCTCGTTCTTTGGCCGAGGCGGCTGCTGCAGAATATTCCTGGAAGCGTTTTGGCTCTTAGGGCTCGGGGCCACCTGGAGCGTAAACACTGGGTTTGGGGTTTAGGGTTTGGGGTTTTAGGGTTTGAGGGTTTGGGGTCTAGGGTTTAGGGTGCCAAGTCCAGAAAGCTTGGATAGCCGACCGACTTGGAACTAGGATGGCCCTGAAGACCCTTCAAAAGATGTTCCTAAATATGCTCCTCCTAAGCCCAATAAGGGAAAATATCATATGCCCCGAGGGCCGACCGACTTTGAAGAAAGCTCGTGGGGGTTTACAAGACCAGGGGACACCTAAAGTAGACCCCCAAATAGTAGGAGTCCGTCATAACAAGGACCCCAGCAAGGCACCCACTAATCTCGGAAATCCTGTAGTCGCGACTGAGAAGGCACGAGCCAAACTCTTTTGCTACCTCAGAGCTCTCTGCTTAGAGTGTCTCCGAGCCCTGAACACTAAACACCTCTACCCTAAACCCTAAACCCTAAACCCTAAACCCTAAACCCTAAACCCTAAACCCTCAACCCGAACCCTAAACCCTAAACCCTAATTAAAACATAAACTGCCCCAAACCCTAGATTCGACTCCACATTCCTTGCCCCGGTCCTCTCACCCGGCTCCATACCCAGCGCAATGGAGGGCGGCAGATCCGTGACCAAGATCAGGAAAAGAATCCTGCGGTTTCGGGTTTAGGGTTTAGGGCTTAGGGTTTAGGGTTTAGGGTTTAGGGTTTAGGGTTTAGGGTTTAGGGTTTAGGGTTCAGGCTCATGGGCACTTATACCCCCAATTCTAGCGGTACTTATCAGTCCCCTAAGTCCCCGAAGGTAGGTTATATATAAGTAGACTTCTAGTTGGGGTGATGAGTAGCCATGAACCTCCGAACCTGCAAGTAGTCACCATGCCCCCCCCTTGGGTATACACCTCAAAAGAAATTCAGGGTTTAGGGTTTAGGGTTTAGGGTTTTAGGTTTAGGGCTTAGGGTTTAAGGGGTAAAATTCTTTCGTTATGTTCTCCTTTGGTGTACGGGTTTGGGGTATGGTGAGATGCTCTTAGACAAGAGACTGCGCTGGCTGCCGGCTGCTTATTATAGTGGCCGGGTTTCCACGAAGAACCGGTAAAGACTAAACAACCCCCGCCCCCCCCCCCGGCCCTAGCACTAACCCCCCTCATGCGTATAAGTTGCCAGCATGGTGTGTCGTGTTCCTTGTTTGCAGTACTCTGAGAACTTAGGAGACCCAACCCCCAAACCCTAAACCCTAAACCCGAAAAAATAAACCCTAAACCCTAAACCCTAACCCTAAACCCTAAACCCTTAACCCTAAACCCTAAACCCTAAACCCTTAACCCTAAACCCTAAACCCTAAACAAACAGAAAGAAAAACACCCTGCTTTTTCGAGGAGGTGCTGCAGCGGCGTGCGCATCAACGGCATGGACACCACGACGCAGAAGAAGATCTGGATCACCTTTTCGGAGCCCGTTTAGAAGCGTCCCTCAACACAATGGGGTTTAGGGTTTAGGGTTTAGGGCTTGGGGCTTAGGGTTTAGGGTTTAGGGTTTAGGGTTTAGGGTTTAGGGTTTAGGGTTTAGGGTTTAGGGTTTAGGGTTTAGGGTTTAGGGTTTAGGGTTTTGGGGGTATATAGCATAAAGGGTTTGTCACCGTTTTAGCCCACCTTAAATCGCCCCGCAAACGCCCTTCCAACATCCTCCCCCTCACCCCCCCCCCCCCCCCCCCCCCAAGCACAGCAGGGCGTTGTGGCTTCGCAGATTCCTGTAGGGTTTATAGGGTTTAGGGTTTCGGGTTTAGGGTTTATAGAGTTTAGGGTTTAGGATGCAAGTGACAGTGGTGTTTGGAATTCCGGGTCGAGTACCCAAGCGTATGGAGGGTTTTTCCCCGACATTTAAATTGGCTTCGAGTCCCAGATCTAGATGACCCTAAACCCTAACCCCAAACCCTAAACCCTGAACCCTAACCCTAAACCCTAAACCCAAAGCCCAAAGCCCTAAACCCTAAACCCTAAACCCTAAACTTTGCCCCATTCCTTGCTTGAGGCATCAGGACTTCGGACCCCGCGCACCTCGGCAATGTGGACAGACATGATGAAGGCCACGAACCTGGGCTTCAACCCTCATCAACTTAGGGGTATAAGGTTTAGGGTTTAGGGTTTAGGGTTTAGAGTTTAGAAGTTGGGATGTTCTCCTTTAGTATGGGCCTTACAGGGTTTGGGGTTTAGGGTTTAGGACAATCGGGGGCACTAGAACCCTTGAGCCTTGACTTCAACCCTCATTGACCTCAAGGACAACTTAGGGGTTTGCAGTTTTGGGGTTAGGGGTTTTGGGGTTTAGGGAGTTTGGGGTTAAGGGTTTAGGGTTTAGGGGTTTTGGGGTTTTAGGGATTTTGGGGTTTGGGGGTTTACAGGTTTAGGATGTAGGGGTCTAGAGGCTAGGGTTTAGGGCTTCAGGCTTTCGGCTCAGGGTTTACCAAAAAGACCCTCAGCTGCACCCTTAAAGCTCCTGGAATCCCGAGCGCAGCCATATGAAGTCCCTTAAGAGCTAAAGAAACGCCAGACCCCCTGAGACCATGAAAACCCAAACCCTAGCCCGACCCCAAACCCTAAACCCCAAACCCTAAACCCTAAACCCTAAAGCCTAAACCCTAAACCACCCCAAGCCCCAAGCCCCAACACCAGATCAAGGCCCACCCTAAGCCACCAAAAAAGCCTCCACCCTAAACCCTAAACCCTAAACCCCAAACCCCAAACCCAAAACCCTAACCCTAAACCCTAAACCCAGGAACTTTTGGATGCCGGCGTAGATGGACCGCCCCTTCTCCACCGCCTTGACGATGGAGGTGAAGTTATCATCGGTCAGAATCCTCACAGGTTTAAGGTTTAGGGTTTAGGGTTTGGGGTTTAGGGTCTAGGGTCTAGGGTCTACTTAGGGTTTAGGTTTTAGGGTTTAGGTTTTAGGGTTTAGGGTTTAGGGTTTGGGTCCTAAGGTTTAGGTTCTCCCCCACATCTGGGTTCAGGTTGCAGGGTTAAGGGTCCAGAACCTCGCTTTCCCAAAAATATTGGGCAAGTTCGAGCTGGCTGTGTGGGGCTGATGGGGTTTTAGCACGTCACCGGCACGTCAGGGTTCGGGGTTTAGGGCTATTGTGTAGGGTCCGCAAGATACCCCTTAGACCCCCCGCTCGCTTACATGCTGGTTTCCGAAAATGGGCGCTTAACCTTGTTCCCCGATCGAACCCTTCTAATTCCTACATAATTGTAGGGTCCCTTATCAGGGTCCCTCCTTTAGTCCCCTGAAGTGCCCTGCCCTAAACCCTAAACCCTAAACCCTGAACCCTGAACCCTGAACCCTAAACCCTGAACCCGGAACCCTAAACCTAAACCCTAAACCCTGAACCCTAAACCCCAAACCCTGCGTGTGCCCTGCATCCAGCTCAGCGTCATCTCCGACGCCCCCTTCGCCACCTCGGAGCTTCTCAGCTGCGGTTCACGAGTCTACCAGCTGAGCTTTAGTTTGTGGGGGGGGGGGGGGGGGGTGGGGAATTAAGGGTCTAGGGTCTAGGGTCTAGGGTTTAGGGTTTAGGGTTTAGGGTTTTGGGTTTTGGGTTTTGGATTTTAGGGCTTGGGGTTCGGTCTGAAGTTATATGCCTAAAGACTGAGGCAGCATTTGCTTCTGCAGAAACAAGCCTAAATGTCCTAACCTCCCTTGAGTCTTCAACCGTGCACCCTGAACTGCCAGGCCGCTGTGTGACTGGGGTTTGAATTGCCTGGAATCTAGGGTCTAGGTCATGGAGTAGCGGGGAGGGAGTATCCAGGACCTTGGGTTACACCATACCCCCTTGAACCCACCTCCAACCACCCCAAAACCCCCAAACCCCCCCGCCCGCCCGAAAGCCCCCTAAGCCCCTAGACACCCTAAATATCCTCCCTCCTCGACCCTAAACCCTGGCCATCCATAAACCCTCCAATGAGAAGCGCACCTCCGTGCCCTGGATGCCCATAGCCACGCCGATGTTCGCCTCATTCAACGCCGGGGCGTCGTTGACGCCATCGCCGGTCCTTTCGGGGTTGAGAGTTTCAGGCTTTGAACGGTATAGGGTTTCGGGTTTAGAGTGTAAGGTTTAGGGTTTAGAGTGTAGGGTTTAGGGTTTAGGGTTTCGGGTTTCGGGTTTAGGGTTTCGGGTTTCGGGTTTCGGGTTTAGGGTTTAGGGTTTAGGGTTTAGGGTTTAGGGTTTAGGGTTTAGGGTTTAGGGTTTAGGGTTTAGGGTTTAGGGTTTAGGGTTTAGGGTGTAGAACTTAGGGTTTAGGGTTTAGCGTTAAGGGTTTAGGGTTTAGGGCTTGTGGTTTACGCGCTGGGCACCTCCGAGACCCGAAACCCCAGACCCAGAAGTCGAGCTGAGCGGCATTGCGCAGACGAGCCCCTGCCTTTGGAGAGACTTCACCTTATGGATCTAAGTGCGCAGAAGTGGGTTTTAGGGTTTAGGCTTTAGGGTTTAGGGTCTAGTGTACCTATATGGACTGTGAGCGCAAAAATGGGGGCATGTTTCTGATCGGACTGTCTTGCATGTGCCTTACTTAGCACCTGGACTGCGGCTGACTTTCATGCAAGCCACTGACTTCTGCAGCATCATCAAATATCATCAGGCATCATGCTACACTTCATGAGGCCCGAAAACCTGAACCTTACGATGCACTGCCTATCGGAACAGTCCTTACCATCCTGAGTTCCCATTCTATCTCTACGGGAGAGCAGGTCACCCTGAACCACAAACATGAGAGTGCCCGAGTCGCGATCTCTAGCTTGTCCGCCGGCTTGGCCCGGGCAAAAACGCGGACTCGGCTGGTAATCTCATCCTTGGGGAGGGTTTCGGGAGCTGAGGAAGCTTCAGGATGCAGAATCTTGGAAAAACCTTTAAACCCCCCAAGAAGCCTTGCACCCTGAACCCTAAACCCTAAACCTCTAACCCCTAAACCCTAATTCCTAAACCCGAAACCCTTGGACCTTCTGCTCTGGAGGCGCCTAAGGAATGACCTGGGGGGGGGGGTGCGTCTGCAATGCCAGGAGGGGTGGGTTTTCCCCTGGTTCCTAGTGGGGATAATACGGGTACCTCGTTCCCTCATTCCCTACTAAGAACCAGCCAGATTTTAGAGCTTTCGGTTTGTTGTGCACCATTTCTCTGGAGTTGCTGATTCGAGGCTTCAAAGAAAAGTTGCCAGCAAACAGAGGACACATTCTGTACTCAAAAGCACATGTGTATGTATGTATATGTGTATACATATATATATATATACACACATGGTATATATATCCCGATTGTGGCAAGCGTTTGTCGGCTCCTTCACAGCAACCTGGTTTGAGAGTGACGGGGCTTGGTATTTTGGGGGAGTTCAGGGCCCAGGCTGGAGGGTTAAAGTTCCAGGACTTTAGAATTCTTGGGTTTGGGGCTTATGGCTGCGGGTTTAGGGTTTAGGGGTTGGGGTTTAGGGGTTAGGGGTTAGGGTTTAGGGTTTGGGGTTTAGGGCTTCGGGCCACTGAGAGGGATACATTGGGAGGGGTAGCGGGCTCTTGCAGAGTGAGTAGGTGCCCTGACCAGGCATCTGCACTCCCAACCCACAACAAAGCCGTAGAGCCAACAAGCCCCTCGAAACCAAAACACAAAACACTCCCGAAAACCCGAAATTTGGGATGTTCCCCCTTAGACTAACAGTCCTTGATGGGGATTACAGCACCCCCGATTCTAATCCCCATCAAGGATTGTCAGTATAAGGGGGGAACATCCCTACCCGAAATCCCGACTCTTAGAACTCCTAAAAGGCCTCCCTAAACCCTAAACCCTAAACCCGTTGATCACTGGGGGCCCCGTCCATGTGCTCCTGCGGAAGGTAAGCATCGTCCCCCCGGGGACGCAGGGTGTTGCAGTCGACGGCCTTGTCTTGCAGTCCACGGCTTCGGCTCGAAGACTACGGGATTTTGGGTGCGAGGGCTTCGGCTTCAGGGGAGGCCTTTGAAGTATGTAGGCTGGGATGTTTCCCCGGTATACTAACCGTCCTTAGTAGGGATTATAGCACCCCCAATGATACTCCCTAGTAAGACCTGTTGGTATAAGGGGGAACGTCCCAATATGTAGGGTCCGTAGACCCCAAGATGGGGGCTGCAGCAGGGCCACAGCTTCCACCACGTTGTCGTCGGGGTTCAAGATTTCTACGCGCCTGGCTGGTCGAGTGAGCTATCAACAACGTCCTACATGTGAGCGGAGTCGTAACAATTGAGCTTCCTGATCAAGAAAACCTGACAATGTACATGTTCAAGTATCTACATATATATATATATATGCATGTATGTATGTATGCATGTATGTATGTATGTAGGTAGGTAGGTAGGTAGGTATGTATATATACATATATACATACATGTATATATATATATATTATCAAAGGGGTAGTCGTAGTTGCAATTGCTAGTACTCGTACCGGTGCTAGTACTAGTACGAATACTGGTACACAGGCGATATGTCTTCATATGGGCCAAGCCTTGGATGTTAGGGTTTAGGGTTTAGGGTTTAGGGTTTGGGGTCTGGGGTTTAGGGTTTAGGGCTTTCTACGCAGTTGCAGGTGTTCCGGGTCGTATCGCATTTTTGCAGCGCAATCTTGAACTCCCAAACTCGAAATCTTAACCCTAAAACCCTTGGCCCAAAGCCCAGAACGCTGCAATTCCGAACTCCCAGACCGTTAACCCAGCAATGCCAATGGCCGTGTAAAAAACGAAAAACCCCTAAACCCTGAACCCCAAACCCTAAACCCTGAACCCTAAACCCTAAACCCTAAATCCTAAACCCTGAACCCTAAATCCTAAACCCTAAACCCTAAACCCTAAAAAACACCTAAACCCTGAACCCTAAACCCTAAACCCTAAACCCTAAATCCTAAAACCCCTAAAGCCTAAACCTTAGATCGAGTCAGCAGGAGTCATCTCGAGGGTCTATGCAAAAAGGAGTCATCTGAAAAGGTCTATGTTGCCGAGGCCCTAGGTCATTCGAGTGATCTCAGGGCTTTGTGTGGGGGTTTCCGAAAATACGGGCGCCCTTTTAGGGGGCCCTTCTAAGAAGATTCTGTTCTATTGGGGTATAGAAAGGGTACCCCTAGATTGAGAAATACCCATGTAAGCCAAGTCATCTACTTGAAATGTAGCAAAACAAAAGCAGCTCGCTCAACCCCGAGACCCCGCCCCCGCATAGTCGTCATCATTATAGTGATGGTAATGTTAAGGTCGTAATGGAGAAGACATAATGGGCTTAGGAAATAAGGCTCCGAAAAATCGAAGCTCGTTGAGCATGAGAACCACTTCAGGGCATACTCAGGGTTTAGGGTTTAGGGTTCAGGGTCTAGGGCTTAGGGCGCTTAGGGTCGAAGAGCTTTGAGTCCAGCCCACCTGGCAATAGCAATCGCTGTCTTGAGGTAGTCCCCAGTAATCATGACCTCGGTGACGTGCTGAATAACCCTAAACCCTACAGCCTAAACCCCTACAGCCCAAACGGAAACGTGGCCCCTTCAGCTCCAGGCGCTTGCAAAACCCACTGCCCCGCTCCGCCCGCCAGTTGCGGGGCAGGGCTTAGGTTCGGAGTTAAAGGGTTTAGGGTTTAGGGTTTAGGGTTTAGGGTTCAGGGTTTAGGGTTTAGGGTTTAGGGTTTAGGGTTTAGGGCTTTCAGGTTTTATGGTTTGGGCTTAAAGGGTGGACTGGCTTCCTCAGACTCTTTCTTCCTAGGACTCCCGAGGCCCCGATTGAACCCCTTAAATCCTTAAATCCCTAAACCCTAAACCCTAAACCCTAAACCCTAAACCCTAAACCCCAAACTGTTAAACCCTAAACACTCTCAATCCAACCCTCAAGGCCCTAAACTGGTAAAGCCTTAAAGCCCGGTAAGCCTTAAACTGCTCAACCCACCTTAAGCCCTAAATCCTGAACCCGAACCTGTTAAACTCAAACCCCCCTAAGCCCCAAACTGCCAAAGGCTAAACCCCCGAAACCTTAAACCCCATGTTGTTAAACCATAAACCCCCAACCTTAAACCCGAAACAAGCTGTTCAACCCTAAACTCTCTAAGCCCTAAACCCTAAACCCTACGCCCTAAACCCTAAACCCTAAGCCCTAAAATGAATTCTGGAGCCCTGGAACTTTGACCCCCCCGAAGCCCTAGACCCCCAAACTGTTCCACTCCCTATCTCTCGACGGCGCTGAGCAGGTCCAAGGTCATTAGGGTTTAGGATTGAGGGTTTAGGGTTGAGGGTTGAGGGTTGAGGGTTGAGGGTTGAGGGTTGAGGGTTGAGGGTTGAGGGTTGAGGGTTGAGGGTTGAGGGTTGAGGGTTGAGGGTGTAGGGTTCTGCGGCCCTTCGGTTGCAGCAGTGTCTGGAGCAGTTCTTTAGAACTCGATGAATTACAGGGCTTGGGATGTTCTGCCTGAGACCTATAATAGGGGGTGCTCTAATCCCAATGAAGGACTGTTAGTTTTAGGGGGAACATCCCAAACATTAGTGCCCTTATTATACTATCTTTGTAGGATTAGGGCCTGGTTAGCCATGAAAAGACTTGGGAAGAAAGGAAAAGGAGTTACCGCTTGCAGTAACGATGTAACAATGTAGGCAGGAAGGGCTCCTTGCTTCCCTGTTGAGGGGGGGAAGTGATCTCAACCCCTATTTTAAACCCCCGAAACTCCCCGGGACCCCTCCTGAACCTCCCAAACCCCCTAAACTCCCTTAAGCTCCCTAGCTTGAAGCTCCTAAACCCCCCAAAACCCCCTGCACCCCCTAAGCTCCCTAGACCCCCTAAACCCCCAAACCCCCTAAACCACCGGAAACTACTAAACCCGAAACCCCCTAAACCCCAAACGCCTCCAACAAAAAGGGGACCTCTCACTTGGAATCCCAAGTCATGCACCCGAACTGCAAGATCTTAACCACCCTGCGTAGCCTTTGTTTTTGTGGTGCTTTGGATCTAGGGTTTAGGGTTTAGGGTTTAAGGTTTGGGGCTTGGGGTTTGGGTTTAGGTTTGTAGGGTTTGTAGGGTCTGAGAGGCCCCTGAAAGTCCGAGTACAACACCCCTAAACCCTAAACCCAAAGCCCTAAACCCCAAACCCTAAACCCTAAACCCCCCTGAGCCCGCGGCCACACGGATGCCCGCTTCTCGGGCCGCCAAGACAGAGTCCCGAACGCCCTCGCGATCGGGGTCCAGCGAGGCAACCATCCCCACCAGCGTCAAGTTTGACCTCGAGGGGGGTTTAGGGTGTAGGGTTTAGGGTTTAGGGTTTAGGGTTTAGGGTTTAGGGTTAGGGTTTAGGGTTTATGGTTTAGCGTTCAGGGGAGCAGGTTTGCGGTCTATAAGGCCTCCTTTTTTCAAGAAGGCTCAAGGCGCGCACTGTGCAGCGTCATGCAACAATGGGAAGAGAAGTGGACACCAAACACCCCTGCTCCCCCACCTTAAGCTCTCAAACTTCTGGTCCAACGGAACGTCGTCGTTCTCCAGCTGCGCTGCGGGCTCTCCCCGAAATCCCACGGCTACAGCCAGAACCCGCAGGGCTTGGTCGGAGTAGGCGTCCACAACCCCCGCGTTGATGCGTGCCTTCTCGTCCTCGCTGAGAGGATACACCCCGCCGTCCTCGCGGAGGATGCTGCTGCAGCTCTGGATGACCCAGTTGGGGGCACCTTTGCAGACGGTGAAGCCCGTGGTGCCGGCGGGGAGGGGCATGCCCCCTTCGCACAGGCTCGTGCGGCCTGCGACGTCGGAGACTGTGAGCATCATCTTCCGCGCGGAAGAGAAAGGAATGTTCACGAGGCGGCGGTAGCCGGTGGCCACATCTTCCGGCAGCCCGATCTTGCCTAGGTTGGCCCTTTAAAGCCTTCAAAAACAAAATGTTCCTCAAGAACCACGCTTCGCCACAACCAGGCACAAAAACAGAACATGTCCCAAGGCCTTCCTGGCTGCGCGCGGCCACCACGATGGGAGCCTCGGAGGAGTTGCCTCGGTACTGCCAGGTGGCCTCGCCAGTGTCCGGGTCCTCTCCCAGGAACCTCTGAGCGGCCGTGCCAGTGGTACAACCGGCCACCAAATGTCCTAAACCCCTAAATCCTAAACCCTAAACCCTAAACCCTAAACCCAAAATCCTAAACCCTCATCCTTAAACTTAAGAGCAGCCCGGGTGCAGCACTGTGTCACTGCAGAGAACTGCCGAAAGCAACGTGCTGCGCACACCCAGGTCCCGATTGGAGTTCACCCCGTTGGGCAGGACCATTCCTTGGGTTTAGGGTTTAGGGTTTAGGGTTTAGGGTTTAGGGTTTAGGGTTTAGGGTTTAGGGTTTAGGGTTTAGGGTTTAGGGTTTAGGGTTTAGGGTTTAGGGTTTAGGGTTTAGGGTTTAGGGTTTAGGGTTTAGGGTTTAGGGTTTGAGTTTAACCATATTACAGCAAAGGGCTCCCTGTTTGGGGTTTGGGGTTTGGGGTTTATGCTTTAGAGTTAGGGTCCCGTTTATGAGGGGACCCAGAACCAACAAAATTAGCAAATGGGTTTAGGGTTTAGGGTTTAGGGTTTAGGGTTTAGGGTTTAGGGTTTAGGGTTTAGGGTTTAGGGTTTAGGGGGTTTAGGGTTTAGGGTTTAGGGTTTCGGGTTTAGCGTACTCAGCTACCGAGAGACCGGTACGTTGGACTTGTCCCTTGGTCGGGTCGAAGCCCTGGCCCGTGATGTTGTACCTAGGGGATAGGATTAGCGGGACCCTTGGGGTTAGGGTTTAGGGTTTAGGCTTTAGGGATTTGGGTTGAGGGTTTAGGGTTGAGGGTTTAGGGTTTAGGATTTAGGGTTTAGGGCAAGGCACACTAGGTTGCCCGGTGGCCCAAGAATACGCCAAAGGGCACCCTGTTTGGTTTGCCGGTGCTGGAAAGGCAGGGTTTAGGGTCTAGGGTTTAGGTTTAAACTTCGGTTTAGGGTTTAGGGTTTAGGGTTTAGGGTTTGGGGTTTGGGGTTTGGGGTTTAGGGTTTAGGGTTTAGAATGTAGGACTGGTTTGGGGTTTAGGGAAAAGAACAAGGATACCATGCGACATCATTCCAGGCACTCAACGCCGCATGACCACATCTTGGTCATGGTCATCTTGCCTCCAGGGGTTCGGGGCTGTTGTTTAGCGCCTAAACCCGAAACCCTAAACCCTAAGCCCTAAGCCCCAAACCCTAAACCCTAGACCCCAAAACCCTGAACTCTAAGTTCTGCGAACACTGAACTCTAAGTCCTCCGAACACTGAACCCTGCACCCGAAAGCCAGACCTTCCGTCAGCGTTCCGGTCTTGTCGCTGCAGATCACCGATGCAGAGCCCAGCGTTTCCACCGCGGCGATCTTCCGTACCTCCGAAAGCTCAGGAGGGGTTCAGGGTTTTGGGCTTTGGGTTGTGCGCTTAGCACGCCTTCTACCACACGGAACATCTTCCCAGGTGAATGTCGTCAGGACAGTGCAGCTGCAGGACGCGTTTTTGCAACAAGTGCCGCGACGCAGTGCCCGGTACAGCAGCTCTAACAACAGCAGTGCCATCTTCTGCAAGCCCAACCCTTTGGGCTTAGGGTTTAGGGCTTAGGGGTGTGGGGTTTAGGGTTTAGGGGTTTAAGGTTTAGGGCTTTAGGTTTAGGCTTTAGGGTTTAGGATTTAGGGTTTAGGGTTTGGGGGTTAGGGGTTTAGGGTTTGGGGTTTAGGGTTTAGGGTTTAGGGTTTAGGTAGGAAACCCAACCTGCACGTTCTTCTCAACCATTTCCTGGCAGCCGATCGCCAGCGAGATTGTGACCTAGGATGGCCACTTAACAACCCTCTGAAAAATATTCCTGAATTTAGGGTTTAGGGTTTAGGGTTTAGGGTTTAGGGTTTAGGGTTTAGGGTTTAGGGTTTAGGGTTTAGGGTTTAGGGCCCAGACCTTAAGATTTAGGTCTAGCGCAAAGAAAAAAAAGGTCCCATCGGCATGCCTGCTGGCGCAAAGAGGAATTCCTTCCGGGATCGCCGCGACGGCCAAGGTCACGGCAATGAGGATCATGTAGACCCAAGGCGGGCTCTCCGGGAACTCCGGATCCTGGCTTTGGGGTTTAGGGTTCAGGGTTTAGGGTTTAGGGTTTAGGGTTCAGGGTTTAGGGGAACTCCGGATCCTGGCAAAGAGTCCACACACGAACTGTTTGCCACTGGCTTAGGGTTCAGGGCTTAGGGCTTAGGGTTTAGGGTTCAGGGTTCAGGGTTCAGGGTTTAGGGTTTAGGGTTTAGGGTTTAGCGTGATGGAGGTGCATGCACTGATGATGACGATGGGGGAGCGCTGGTGAGAACGATGATGTCACGAATTGAGAATCCGGGGCACCGAAGGAGCATGGGCCGCTGCTGAAGAAACTGGGCCCTGTAGACTGAAATGGGTACAGAAGGGGTTTAGGGTTTAGGTTTTAGGTTTAGGGTTCAGGGTAGTGTTGAGGATATTGTGGGTACACTTCCCCAAATGCGGTACCGCTCCTTTTTCTTTCTAACCCAAAATAACATACCCCTTATTATAGGAATCCCCAAAAGGGTCCCATTATTTCCGGAAGCCCCATATGTTTTGTGCACGTGGCGCCTTGGTGCCAATCAGCAGCCCGATGATGAACACCACCACACAGACGACGATGGCCAAGACGCCAATACGCGCGCCCAGTCGCTCGACGTTCTCCTGCTCGCTCACTCGGACCGAATCCCCCCGAAAACTCACAAACAACTAACAAGAACAAGAACAAGAACAATAACAATAACAGTAGCCATAACGATAACAATAACGATAACAACACCAAAACAATAACAAAATCAATAACCATAACAATAACAATAGCAGTAACAAAAACAAAGACAATAACAATAACAAAAACCATAACCATAGCAATCACAATAACAAACATTCTTGCGATTAGTGTTACTTGCTACTAGTCCGAATAAGAAAAAGAAGAAGAATACAATCTTAACAAGAACAATGACATAATGAGACAAACATAAACTGCAATCAACCCTGAGCCCTGAAACCTCTGCATCCTGCAAGGGCCCTAGACCCAAAACCCTGAACCCTGAACCCTGAACCCTAAACCCTAAACCCCCTTTCTGCATCCTGAAGGGGCGTCTTGTTCTCTGCTGAGGTGGGTAGGCAGTCGCACGGTCCGCCGCCAGTCTACGAGACGCGGTTCCCAGGCTTTGGGGCTTAGGGTTGAGGGCTTAGGACTTAAGGTGAAAGTTTTAGGGCTTGGGATTTAAGGCGTAGGGTTTAGGGTTTAAGATTTAAGGTTGAGAGTCTAGGACTTCAGGTTTAGGACTTGCGGGGCTCAGGCTTCTTGGTTTCAGGGGGCGCAGGGGTTTTAAGGGCTTGCGAATCTACAAAGGAACATACAATGTTCGAGACTGAATATAAAGGACCATCATCCCCAAAACCCTAAACCGCAAACCCTAAACCGTAAACCCTACACCACCTAAAAATGGTCGCAGGGTCTTTGCAGGGGGTGTTGGGATTTCTCAAAGGTTTAGGGTTTCAGGGTTTCGGATCTAGAGGTTGAGGGTACCCTTGAAGAGCACCCATTTGTGGCTGCCATGCCTTGTCGTCTGAGTTCGCCATCATCTTGGCGATGTCGCCGATGCGCGTGTTCATCCCAGTGGCAACCACGATGCCCTTGCCTTGCTGCTTTGGTCGGGAATGAGGGGATGAGGTACACTTAATAGAATCCCTTAAAGGGTATATATAGCGGGATATAAGGTGCCCTATAGAATCCCTTAAAGGGTATATATAGGGTACCTCATTCCCTACTTACCGACAGCAAGGTTGCATTTCCCACTGGCCACGGGGCACCCGGAGAAGACCATGTTCTCAGGAGTGAGCTTCGTCCTGGGCAGGATGCGGGGTGTGTAGATATTGTTTATTTAGGGTAGTTGCATGGCCCCTCAGTACAATATTAAGGACCTGTATAACTTCCCTTAGATTGTTGAGAGATGTCGTGATTCCTTAGCCACAATGACAAATTGCCGTTTCTGAGGCCGTGGCTGCTCTTTGATCTTCGTGTTCTTCGACCTCAGAGGACACCCTCTTTGGGGTTGTACCTTGGACCCTTGAGGTTGTACGCTTGGGTTTTGGGGACCCTTTCTGAAGATCCTTAAGAGCCGTAATCCCCTGACACCCGCTCCTCAACCAAACAAGGCCCCAAACCCTAAACCCTAGGCCCCTGTGTCCCAACACGAAATCTTAGAGACTATGTGCTTATCCGAATCCTGAAACACACAAAGCCAGGCCCCATAGCAAGCTGAGAAATGATTTTGGCGCCATCAGGTGCCTTCATCTCCATCTTCACAGTCAGGGAACATTGATAGGCTGAACCCTAAACCCCAAACCCTAAACCCTAAACCCTAAACCCTAAACCCTAAATCCTAAACCCTAAACCCTAAACCCTAAACCCTAAACCCTAAACCCTAAACCCTAAACCCTAAACCCTAAACCCTAAATCCTGCTTGGCTCTTGAGGTCTCAAACTGAACTGTCTGAGAGCTTTGCACATCGTCTGGCTCTCCTGTCAGCGCTTTCTCGTCCACTTTCCTGAGCGACACAGGCGTGGGACCTACATGAGCATGTTCCAAAATCAGGGGGTACGGGTTAGGGGTTCCCTGTTACAGGAACCCCGAGCAAGCCCACAACCCTCAAACCCAAACTACCCCCCGAAACCCTAGAACCCTGAAGCCCCTGAAACCCTAAAACCCTAAAACCCTGAAACCGTAGAACCCTAAAAACCCTAAAACCCCCAAAACCCCTAGAACCCTGAACCCCCAGAACCCTGAAACCCCTATAAACTCTCAAAACCCTGAAACCCTGACATCCCTCAGGCCCCGAAACCCCTCAATCCCCAAAACCCTGCACCCCCCCCCCCCCCAAAAAAAACCCTAAAACCAACCCCCTTTAAACAGAACCCAAAAACCCTAGAACCCTAACACCCTAACACCCTTTAAGACCCTGAAACCCTGCAACCCTAGCACCCGAAAACCCCCCCAAAAACCCTCAAAACCTGAAAATCTAACACCCGAACACCCGAACACCCTACAGCAAACCACCCCAAACCCTAGAAACCCTAAACCCTAAACCCTAAACCCTAAACCTTGAACCCCTTTTCCCTGCCGGAGGACAGGTCCGCCGCTTCCAGGAGTCGAAGGTCCGCCGGGACCACGTCCTTGGTTCCGCTGCAAGGGGTTTAGGGGTAAAATTGGGTTTAGGGTTTAGGGTTTAGGGTTTGGGGTTTTGGGGTTTAGGGTTTAGGGGTTGTTTAGGGTTGTTTTGTGTTGTTTTGGGTTGTTTTGGGTTGTTTTGGGTTGTTTTGGGTTGTTTTGGTAGCTAGGGTTTAGGGTTTAGGGTTTAGGGGTTTAGGTTTAGGGGTTTAGGTTGAGGGGTTTAGGGGCTTAGGGGTTCGGGGTTTAGGGTTTCGGAGTGTAGGGGTCTAGGGTTTAGGGTTTAAGAGCTCCGGGCTTTTTAGGGCTTGCGGAAGAGTCAATCGGGTGCCCCATTTTCTGAGGCGAAGCCTAAACCCGAAACCCTAAACCCGCAAAAACTAAAGGGAACCAGGGGTACTGCTGGGCATGCGAGCGTCGCCTGTCTCCAGCAAAATGAGGTCGCCCTTGACCACATCCACCTCTCATTCGGGTCTGGGGAAATTTGGGCTTCGGGTCCAGGGTTTAGGGTTTAGGGTTGAGGCTTTCGAGGTTTAGGGTCTAGAGAGTTCAGGGTTCCTTCTTCGGATCAAGCTGGGCCCTTCCTTCGCGCCTACGGGTTTAGGGCTTCGGGCTGAGGATACTGTGGCTGCCCGAAGCCCGCAACTAGCCCTGAACCCTGGCTGTCTGACAGGATTGCAGAATGGCAGGGGTCTCGGGGGAAGCCCCAAGTCTCCTTGAACCCCAAACCCCCTAAACCCGAAATCCTAAACCCTAAACCCTATACCCTATACCCTAAACCCGAAACCCTGAACCCTAAGCCCTAAACCCGAAACCCTAAACCCTATACCCGAAACCCTGAACCCGACTGAACCCCATCTGAACCCTGCACCAACCCCGACTTCACATCGACTTCACATCGGTGAGCTTTGGTTGCCAGGGTTTGGGCGGCGGGGGTGCCAAGAGGGGAACTTACAAGGTGAATCCCAACCCCGGAATGGGTTTTGAGATTGAAGTCACACCAAGCAAAGCAGCTGTCCACCACATGCACTTAGCCACAGCCTCTGTTAAACGTGAACCTAAGCAAACCCTAAAATCCCCCTACATCCAGCTGAAGCCTAAACAACCGGACCCTAAACCCTTAACCCCCATTAAACCCTAACCCCCACCCTCCCCCAGCCCCCTGGGCTTGGGCTCTCTGAGCTTCGCGCCGTTGGTATGTTCATCACCTCCGCTGGAGGCTGCGGCTGTAGGGTTCAGGGCTTTGACGGGATTTGCGGGGCAGAAGGCTAGTTCCGCTCTTCCTTAACAGTCCTTACCAGGGATCATAGTATCCCCGATGATAATCCCGATGAAGGACTGTTAGTATAGGGCTAATAACTTGGGGTTTAGGGTTTAGGGTTTAGGGTTTAGGGTTTAGGGTTTAGGGTTGAGGGTTTAGGGTTTAGGGTTTAGGGTTCCAAAACCTCCTCATGCCCACCTCGCCATCGCGCAGCACAGACACCTCCGGCTGCGACAACTTCGCCAAAGCATCGAGCGCGTTGCCGGCTTGGTGCTCCTGTTTAGGGACACGCCTGGTTGCAGTGGCCTGGGGTTTAGGGTTTAGGGTTTAGGGATTAGGGTTTAGGGTTTAGGGTTTAGGGTTTAGGGTTTAGGGTTTAGGGTTTAGGGTTTAGGGTTTAGGGTTTAGGGTTTAGGGTTTAGGGTTTAGGGTTTAGGTTTAGGGTTTAGGGTTTAGGGTTTAGGGTTTAGGGTTTAGGGTTTAGGGTTTAGGGTTTAGGGTTTAGGGTTTAGGGTTTAGGGTTTAGGGTTTAGGGTTTAGGGTTTAGGGTTTAGGGGTAGCTTGTGGTGTAGCGTGGCCTTTGGGCTTGCGCTCAGCATCTTCTGTCGGGCTTCTTGATGCTGGGCCCAGGGCTTCGGGGCTCATAAAGCACTCTACACCAAACCCTGAGCTCTGCATGCGAAACTTGGGTAGATTAGGTTTAGGGTGTAGAGGGTTCAGGGTTTAGGGCTTAGGGTTTAGCGGTTCCGTTGAGGTGACCATAATATGGAAACCCTAACCCTGGTTTACAAATCCACGGGCAAAGGCTTAGTTTGAAGGTCGGATATCTCTTGCACACACAGACAACAGACAGCGCTCCGTATAGGCGGCAATGCCGGCATTCCTCAGATAGTGCAACGGACAAGGCTGCGACAGCGGACTTAGCTGCCTCTTAGCTGCAAGTCAGAACGCCTCAATAAGTATATATATATATGTGTACAGTGCAACTTAACAGGTTACTATTGAATACCTTGAGATCAACGTAAAATTGGTTGTAAAGAAAAACGCAAGTTCGAAACAAATACCATGCAAGACGTATCGTTGTATCATCCAGTTGCCCTCGACATGATTAGAACCCGAGACACTCACAGTCATAGCATGATGAGAGCTCCACTCCCACAACCAAAAATACGGAATATACTCCGACTTTCTTGACTATATATCCAGATTCTCGGATATGGTTTAGATGAACTGAGATGGTTCGCGAATTTGGGATTTACATCTTTTACATACATGTCTACTCGTTATGAACGGAGATATAGCTGCAAAAGGGTTTCGATGCTGCGCAGACTAACATTGATCGCCAACTCATGCCTCTGCCCTTATGAGATGATAGAGAGAAGCAAAATGTCCCAACTCCACCATGAGTATTCATAAAGTGCTCCGGTCATGTACTCTAGCTATCAAACCCAAAAGCTCTAAGTGACAACTATCTACCTCGAAACCTCAGGATAGATAGCATGCATTCTGCATCGCTAGGATGTGATATGCCTGACAAGCTCATCATGGCCCATGCACCATCGCCTCATGGATGCCTGCTCCAACATCTCTTTTGCCCCCGTAAGAACTTGCGCCACTTGGAGGTGCATGGGAAGTTGTAAGTAGAGTTCAGAGTACCCTAAGTAGGGTTACAAGTATAGGTACCGCACCTATAAACCCTTCTTCCAAGTATACGACAGGCAAGAGCACTTAAAGGCTGTCTGGGGCCATGCTTCCGGCAAGAACTGACCACCCGAAGCCAAGGCTTTGCGGATAGATCGGGGCTGAGGAACAGACTTCAAAATCCCCAAAAGTACTTCAAGGCCTGGGGTTTTTGTTAAGGGTTTAGGGTTTAGGGTTTAGGGTTTAGGGTTTAGGGTTTAGGGTTTGGGGTTTAGGGTTTAGGGTCTAGGGTTTAGAGTCTAGAGCTTAGCCATTTTGCAGCTGAGGTTCAAAAGGACTAGGATGAAGATGGCCATCCCTGTCGTGTAGGACAGGATTTCATCACCTGGGTGCCCTAAACCCTAAACCCTAAACCCTAGACCCGAAAACCCGAGCGTTGCGGGTTTTTGGGGTTGAAGGGGTGCAGGGATCTAGGGGTTTGGGCTTGCAGGTTTAGGCCTTAGGGCTTAGGAGCTTAGCGGTTTTCGAGCGTCATTTTGTTTTTGGGCTTGCGGGTTTTTTCGGATTATGGGCCCCTGATATGGGCGGGTAGTTGAGGGACCCATGCATACCTAATTAACCTCTGAGCATGCTGAGGGGTTCAGGATTTAGGGTTAGGGTTCAGGGTTTAGGGTTTGGCGTTTAAGGTTTAGGGTTTGGGGTTTAGGGTTTAGGGTTTAGGGAGCCACCCAAGTGGCTTCGGGAATCTGGCCTCAGGATGTTCTGTTGGGTAATGAGGGGGCATGGCTTCATCAAGGGCCTACTCGCTTCAAACTTCAGGCTGGTGAAAGGCGATAGAGCTTATATAGAGCTTAGGGCGCTACTTCTAAGGCTCAGGGATGCTCCGCATCTCTCCTTTAGGTTTTAGGGTTTAGGGTTTAGGGCGTAGGGTTTAGGGTTTAGGGTTTAGGGTTTAGGGTTTAGGGTTTAGGGTTTAGGGTTTAGGGTTTAGGGTTTAGGGTTCAGGGTAGTGCTTCAAAGCAATCGGCTCTGGAGCTGAGGCCGATACGCTTGCCCTCGTTCGTGGCATTGACGACGATGGAGGCAATGGCAGCGATGATGAGCAGGATGATGATGAAGCCTCGCGGTGGTCTAGCGTTTAGGGTTTAGGGTTTAGGGTTTAAGGTTTAGGGTTTAGGGTTTAGGGTTTAGAGTTTAGGGTTTAGGGTTTAGGGTTTAAGGTTTAAGGTAAACCCAAAACCCTAAACCCATAACGCACCACTTAGCCACTTGGCAATCTTCAAACCTTGAGACCAAGGCGCTGGTCAGCTGGAAGCCCTAAACCCTAAACCCTGAACCCCAAACCCTAAGCCCTAAACCCCAAACCCTAAACCCCAAACCCTAAACCCTAAACCCTAGACCCCCCCCCCCCCCATGTGCACCACTTAGCCACTAACCTTGAGACCAAGGCGCTGGTGAGCTGGAGGATGAAGAGCATGAAGAGCCCCAGGCGAGGCTCTTGCTCAAGCTGGTTGGGGCCATCCTCTCTTCGGGGGGTTTGGGGGTTTGGGGTTTTGGGTTTAGGGTTTAGGGTTTAGGGTTTAGGGTTTAGGGGTTAGTGTTTGGGGTAGTTACACCGTCCCTTCATTCGGGCCCCTAAACCGGGGAGCCCCTACAGCATGTGTCCCTCATGTACCCTATGACGGCAGCAAAAAACACACCAGAAGTTGGAGATGTTTTTTTGTGAGGGTGCAGCTGCACGGGGAATTTTCCCCAGAGTAGGCTCCCCTTCCACGAGCATACCAGCACTCACCGCGAACTGCAAGTACCCGGCTTTCGAGCGAATTCGGGCAAGGCATCCGTCTGGAGTCATGCCTAGAACCACGTGGGAGCTATCGTGGACACGAACCCTAAACCCTAAACCTTAAGCCCGACACCAAGAACCCTAAACGCTAAACCCCTAAACCCCTAAACCCCTAAACCCCAAAACCCCTTAACCCCTAAACCCATAAACCCTAAACCCCTAAACCCCTAAACCCTAAACCCTGAACCCTAAACCCCTAAACCCCTAAACTCGGCCTTCTTCAGCCGCGCAGCGGCCTTCGAGGAGCTGAGGCCCTGGTGTGGGTCGCACTTGAGCAAGGCACCTTCAGTTTAGGGTTTAGGGTTTAGGGTTTAGGGTTTAGGGTTTAGGGTTTAGGGCATAGGGCTTAGGGCTTAGGGCTTAGGGTTTATGGTTTAGGGTTTAGGAGGAAAGAGGAAGACAGAGGAAGGTTGGGGGAAGGGACATCATGGCGCTTTCTTGGGGTTTGAAGGCTATGGGCTCTGGGCGGGCTTGGCTGTAGGTCGAGGCTGCAACCCCCTACCGCTAATTGTTTTGCTTCTAAGCCCTAAACCCGAAACCCTCAACCCTAAGCCCCAAACCCTAAACCCCGCGGAGACAAGGGGCAGAGCTGCTCCGGCACCATGTCCTCCACCTCCCAAAGTCCAGAACCCTAAGCTTCTGGAACCCTAAACCCCTATAAGGGTTTAGGGTTTAGGGTTTAGGGTTTAGAGTTTAGAGTTTAGGGCTGGAGCCAACCGAGCCAAAGTCTTCCAAACCAAATTCACAAATCGATTGCTTTTAGTCTCAAAGCCGTATCCAAGCAACAAAATGGCTGCAAATCAGAATCATAAAGTTTCTGTTGCGACAAGGGTTTAGGTTTAAGGTTTCAGGTTTAGGGTTTAGGGTTTGGGGTTTAGGGGAAAGGCCGAGGAGTCCGATTGACACTTCGGGATGGAATGCCAAACCGTATTGGACTCAGTCTGAAATTGTCATTGGGGGGGTGCATTCGAGGCCAAAAAGCTTTTACCATCGAAAACAGCAAGTCCAGAAGCGTATCAAAAATACATCGTTTTGGAAGTCAAGCTTAGGGTTTCCGAAGTAGACACGAGGAATTGGGATGTTAAGCTTTGGTGTTTCTTTGTCTTTTGGCATTCTCGGGTTGAAGACTTTGACCCTACCTTTGGAGTAGACCCTGGAAAAAAAGTATATACTTTTTAGGTATAAGTAGCTATAATAGGAACCCAGAACCAAAAAAAGTATTAAAGTACAGTACTCCAAAACCCAGTTGACAGTTTTGGGCTCTGGTGCTTCAGGGTTCCAGGGTTTTGGGTTGGCTTGGGTGGATTCGGGGTTGTAGGGTTGCACATTTAAGGCAGAGGGCAAGGGCCAAGCTCAAACCTGTGAGCCCCAAAGCCTAAGCACAACGGAAAACCCCAAACCCTAAACACTAAAACTCAAAACCCTAAACCCTAAACTCGGCGAGCTCGGAATCCTAGGAATCCTAAGTAGGAGGATATCAGGACTAGGTACAACTACCTTTGAACAACTTCCCCTTTCGGTTTCCCCAGCTGGGTTTCTGAGCCTGTTCCACTGCGCACCCACGCAAAGGTTTAGGGTTTAGGGTTCAGAGTTTAGGGTTTATTCCGAGATTGGGTAACTTTTCGTGGACCCTAACCTAAATACCCGTGTCGACAGCTCGCTGCCTTCTGTCCGGCAGGTAAGCCCATGGATGAGGACACCTGTCGCATGAGCTCCCCGATGTCGCTACGAGTCGTCAGTCGCGAAGACATGCCTGTGCTGCGCTTAGGGTTTAGGGTTTAGGGTTTAGGGTTTCGGGTCTAGGGTTTAGGGTTTAGAGGCCCTAAGGCACTAAAACCCTAAACCCTAAACCCTAAACGCATTGGTTTAGGATTGGGGTTTAGGGTTTCGGGTTTAGGGTTTGGGGCTTAGGGTTTGGGGTTTGGGGTTTGGGGTCTAAGGTGTTAGGGTTTATTGAAATGATTACGGGCTCAGGTCCGGGGAAATTTCGAGGAGTTTCTGTTTAGGATTTTTTGAATAATTTCAAGTTACAGAGGCTTGAGGGTTTAGGGTTAAGGGTTTAGGCTTTAGGGCTTAGGGTTTAGGTTTAGGGTTTAGGTTTAGGGTTTGGGGTTTGGGGTTTAGGGGGGTTCGGAGGGAGCGCACCGGGTGCGCTTTTGGGGGGGAGATGGGGGCCGGGCCAGCTGAGAGCGCCGGGAGGGTTTAGGGCTTAGGGTTTAAGGTTTAGGGTTTAGGGCTTAGGGCTTAGGGCTTAGGGCTTAGGGTTCAGCATCTCAAGTTCAAGCATTCACTAGTCAAGCAATTACTCACTCCAGGAAAATACCCACCCGCCCAAAGAATCCCATAACATAAAAAAAGATATTTCACTTATAGAACGACCTTGCCCAGCCTTGCCCAGTAAAAAGATAACCTTGCCAAGTACAAAATGACCTTGCCCAGTTTGAAAAAAAACTTGCCCAGTAAAACAAATGACCTTGCCCAGAAAAAAAGACCTTGCCCAGCCAAAAAATGACCTTGCCCAGTAAACAAAATTATTTTGTCAAAATACCTTGCCCGGTAAAAAAATGGCCTTGCCCAGTCAATAAAATCACCTTGCCCAGTAAAAGAGAGACCTTGCCCCGTAAAAAATGACCTTGCCCAGTAAAAAATAACCTTGCCCAGTAAAGAGATGACCTTGCCCAGTACATGAATGACCATGCCCAGCAAAAGAATGACCTTGCCCGGTAAAAAAAATAACCTTGCCCAGCACAAAAATGACCATGTCATTTACTCCCCAACATTTAAAGTATTTTTATGTGGGAGAGGCTTAGGGTTTAGGATTTAGGGTTTAGGGTTTAGGGTTTAGGGTTTAGGGTTTAGGGTTTAGGGTTTAGGGTTTAGGGTTTAGGGTTTAGGGTCGAAATTTAGGGTTTGGGGTGTAGGGTTTAGTGTTTAGGGTTTAGGGTGTAGGGTTTAGAATTTCAGGTTTTTAAGGTTAGGATTGCAAGGCAAAAGTCACAAAGGAGTCACGGCCGAGCTCCGTAAACAGCATCCCCCAACTTTCGAAACCGTCAGCCCTAAACCCTAAACCCTAAACCCTAAACCCTAAACTCTAAACCCTAAACCCTAAACCCTAAACCCTAAACCGCGGGTCTGCAAATTCTCTCCAACCACCACAGATTTCGGCCCTGACGCTATGCCTTTAACCCCTGAAAGCCCTGAACCCTAAAACCCTAAAACCCGTAAAGCCTCATAGAACCCCCAAAAACCCCAAAACCTCTAAAACCCCAAACCCCCAAACCCCCATACCCCCAAACCCCGTCAAACCCCGTCAAACCCCATACGCCTCCCACCGCAAACCGCCAACAAAACCCAAAAGCCATAAAACCCCATAAACCCCCCCAAAAGCCAAAAATCCCAAAACCCCCAAACCCCGAAACCCCTAAACCCTAAACCCTACATCCTAAACCCTAAACCCTAAACCCTAAAACCTAAACCCTATACATCCCTGTACCACGAGGGCCGCCCACCTCTTTCTTGGAGTTCCTCCACATTGCGAGTCAAATCCTTTCGGCATGGAGATTCCATGGAGGGGTTTAAGGTTTAGGGTTTAGGGTTTAGGGTTTAGGGTTTGGGGTTGAGGGTTTAGGGTTTGGGGTTTGGGGTTCAGGGTTTGGGGTTAAGGTTTGGGGTTCGGGGTCTGGGGTTTGGGGTTTAGGGTTTTCTGGGTTTTGGGTTTGGGAGGGCTTGAGGTCCGTGCAGAAAAGAGGGACAACAAGGAAGGCTATGTCAGGAAGGCTATGGAAGTCAACTAATTCGGAAGCTCTGGCCCCTCTTCTAAGCCCGTATAGCGTATAGCAGCTTCACACTAATGATGGACCGACTTCAATATTCGCGTGAGGCGCGCGACATGTTTGGACGGTCCTGATGGTGCTGGTTCGACAGGTCATGCGGGAAGAGGTGGTCCGGCCGCAACATGCTTCTCTTTGGAATACGCGTTTGATTATGTCCCTTGAGATGATAATGCTGCCGGAAAGGAATTTGTGCCTGCAGCTCCCAAGGTTCACACTTAAATCAAGGCCACAACTCCCGACGAAAGAACTGATGAACGACGGCAAACCTACACCGTTTAGGGTTTGGTTTAGGGTTGAGGGTTTAAGGTTGAGGGTTTAAGGTTTAGGGTTTAGGGTTTAGGGTTTAGGGTTTAGGGTTTAGGGTTTAGGGTTTAGGGTTTAGGGTTTAGGGTTTAAGGTTGAGTTTAGGGTTGAGGGTTTAAGGTTTAGGGTTTAGGGTTCAAGGTTTAGGGTTTAGGGTTTAGGGTTTATTTAGGGTTTAAGGTTTAGGGCTTGCTGTGATAGGGCGTAGGTGCTGTGAAGGTTAGGTTTCGGAACAAGCTCGAAAGCTTCGTGAGGTGCGAAGAGCAGCTTTGGCCCGATTGTGGAAGGCCATCTTTCTCCCACCCCACGCCGTCCGAGGCGGCAAAGCCATCCAAACCTATTCCGTTTAGGGTTTAGGCCTAAACTCAAGGCAACAGTCCACTTCTAAAACACATATTCAGTTTCATGACGTTCGGGGTTGGGTCCGAAAGTCAAAGGAATGGTAGAAAGGCGAGCCAGGGCCAGCCAGTCAGGGGGCCACCAAAATTGAGTTTTTTGAGCACCCGCCCTGCCTGAGCCGGCCCGAGGCCCCCTGGCCCCTTGGGCACGCTACGGCGGAATCCGGCTCTTCTTGGCCTGGGGGCCTTGGGGTACCCTCCCGAAACTGCCAGCGCCATCCAGAGCTGCAGAAGTCGAAAGGCCCCTTTGTAGGGGGGCGGCCAAGGCCCTGAGTTTAGGGTTTAGGGTTTAGGGTTTAGGGTTCAGGGTTCAGGGTTTAGGGCTTAGGGTTTAGGGTTTAGGGTTATAAGGCCCGTTATGAATAAGGTCTGGGAATCCTGGAATCTCGGAAAACGCATGTTCACACCGGATCCAAAAACGCATGTTCCAAAAACGCATGTCCAAAAATGCATATCCAAACATGCATCTTCCAAAAAGACATGTCAAAAACACATGTTCTGACATTGAGCTCCTCTCCACCCTCGCTGCACCCAGCTGCCCACCCACCCCTCGCCCTACCCAGGACAGGCGGCCCTCCCCCCCTCCATGGGCCGTCGCCGGTACATGCATGTTTGGACATGCGTTTTTGGACATGCATTTTCGGAACATGCATTTTTGGATATGCGATTTTGGAACATGCATTTTTGGACATGCGGTTTTGGACATGCGTTTTTGGAACATACATTTTTGGATATGCATTTTTGGAAAATACATTTTTGGACATGCGTTTTTGGATATGCATTTTTGGGCTTGGGTATGCGTTTTTGGTTTTGCACCTTATTCAGTAGCGGGCCTCATAAGTTTAGGGTTTAGGGTTTAGGGTTTAGGGTTTAGGGTTTAGGGTTTAGGGTTTAGGGTTTAGGGATTAGGGATTAGGGTTTAGGGTTTAGGGTTTAGGGTTTAGGGTTTAGGGTCTAGGGTTTAGGGTTTAGGGTTTAGGGTTTGCTGAAATACGTAGATGCTGTGAAGGTTAGGATGCAGCAGCGGCTCGAATGACTCGTCAGGTGCGAAGAGCAGCTCTGGCCCGATTGTGGAGGGCCATGTCAGACTTTTCTCCCACCCCACGCCGTCCGAGGCGGCAAAACCACCCAAACCTATTCCGTTTAGGGTTTTAGGCCTAAACTCATGGCAACCGCTTACTTTTTTTACCTTTCCGTCACCGATGGCCAGTCTCAGCCAGGGGAAAGGTTTGAGGCCAGGTCCCGGCCGTTTGTACGGGTTTCAGCTTCATAGAAAAGGAGAGGTTTTCGAGGGTTTGAGGCAGAGCCAGGCCAGAGGGGGGCCCAGGAAGGGGCCAGGGCGGGCCAGGCAGGGGGGCCAGGAGAAGAAATGAGGCCGGCATTTTTCATTACAGGGGGGAGGCCCCCGAATCCAAACCCTAAACCAAGAACCCAACACGCCGCCAGGCCAAATGGTCTAGACTTTCGGGCATTGGCTTTAATTAGAAGAGGTGTGCTGGCCGGGCACACTTAATTAGCCTACCTACTTGGTGGTATGGCTGAGGCCCTGCTCGCAAAGCGTCAATCCCAGGCTCAAGCTGGAGGCTTAACCCTCCAGCTGCAGCTTGCAAACGTTACCAATTTGCAAAGCCTCTCGCAGCACAGATGCTCTGGCTCTGCCAAGCTCGGCAGCAACCGCTCGGGCTCTGCTGCACGCTCCAACGAGCCCTCGCTAAGTTTAGGGTTTAGGGTTTAGGGTTTAGGGTTTAGGGTTTAGGGTTTAGGGTTTAGGGTTTAGGGTTTAGGGTTTAGGGTTTAGGGTTTAGGGTTTAGGGTTTAGGGTTTAGGGTTTAGGGTTTAGGGTTTAGGGTTTAGGGTTTAGGGTTTAGGGTTTAGGGTTTAGGGTTTAGGGTTTAGGGTTTAGGGTTTAGGGTTTAGGGTTTAAGGTTTAGGGTTTAGGGTTAAGGGTTAAGGGTTTTTTTTTTAACTGGAGTTAAGGGTTTAGGGTTTAGGGTTTAGGGTTTAGGGTTTAGGGTTTAAGGCTTGGAGTGTTCGGACGTTGAACGCGAAAAGGACACAGATCATTGCCTTCACACCGTCGTTCGGCTTGGACTGTTTGTCAAGCTTGTTGTAGGAGGTTACCCCAACTTATGGTGGAAGAAGATACGCATAGTTCTTTCTGCAAACAGTTCTATAAACAGTTAAAGTTTCTGGAGAAGGGAGAAACAGGTATTTCAT